CTTTATCCGAGATAGTTTCGCTGATAGTTGGGTTCCTAATACCGGTTTCTTTAATAAGTCTGAATAGCTGTGTACTGTTACCTATTGCCGCTGCCTTTTCCATCTCTCTTGCTTTCGTTACCCATCACTGTTCACGATCATTGCGTAGGCTTCTTATTAGCCTTCGCTTAAGTTGACTCCGCTCTTCGTTATGTTCAGAGCCAGATGGGATGAGTTTTCGAGCATCTATCAGTGCGGTAGATGCTGCTGAGATCCATTGTTTCTCCCTGACTTTATGGATTACCTTACTAGCGGATATCACTGCTGTTTCCACAACTTTTCGGATATCATTCCACGCTGCTTCGTGGTGGGCACAACTTACATGTCTGTCTAACTGTTTTTCCGGTTGTTCCTGAAATATATTCTTAGCTTGCATATCATTAAGTAGAACCCTAAGAGGCTTCCCTGCAGTGTCTTTCCTACGCCCAGTAAGACGCAGACAGATACGTGCTCGCACTAGAGCATGATCTGAGTCTAAACATGTGCTCCAGAATGAGTGACAGTCCTGTATCGAGCCCCTCCACTGGTGGCTGATAGCGATGTGACCTAATTGGGTCCAAAGTTGGGACGGATTCGGGGGTCACCATGTCAAAAGATGTTTTTCCTTATGCTTAAAGTTAGTATTTGCAAGAAACAGGCGGTTATCTGAGCATAGCTGCAACAGACGGTCGCCATTATCTGTTCTTTTAGCCACAACACCATAAGATCCACCCATGTGTCTTTCCCTTTCAGAGGCAACGACGAGTGTCCCTATCTTTCCGAGTCCTTACTGATCCGTTTAGTCGGACAGTGCATAGACAACTGTCTACTGGGATCCAGTCTAAAAGAGCTAGTTCTGCCCTAGGACTTAATGCTATACCTACTCCAGCGAGACCACGGGAAGCAGCATCAGGGCTTCCAGATACACGAAGTGTGAATCGAGATGAAACTTTATTTTGATTAGGTGCGGTCAAATGAATGACACTACTCGGATTTTGTATGCGCGTTTCGGGGAAGCAGCACACATCGATGGTGTAAGATTCTAGAGTCCTAGCTAAGGAAGCCTGTTGTCCTATTTGGCACAATGTTCGGACATTAAAAGTTCCTATGTGTAGTTTAGAGCGTGGTTTCAGGAGACCAGGAATAACGTTCTGTGTACTTGAATCGTTTGCCCTAGCGGTGCAAGGTGATAAAAGGACGTGGGAAGGGTTAGTCGTGGAGATAAGAGAGCTATTAGGTGTAGGAAGGATTTGAAAGCGACCAACTTGGTCTCGTGTGTTGTTACGGGTATGAGGGCAGTTATCACTTCCAGGCTGCCCACACCGTGGAAGGGTATTTCTTGAGGGACCTGAAAAAGAAGTTGGATTACTGTTGGTCTTAACGACCTGGGAGCGTGGCCGCAGTGCCCAAGGGACAACTGCTTGAGCCCGGTCACGCACGGCCTTTTTGTGGGGGGATTTCTGACGTGTTAGCTCCGTTCTTCAAAGTACCTTACCGCCGGAGACGGAAATCCGTGGGATAAGGCGAGATGTGCATTTTTAGGGTCGACCTTTTCAAACCCCACCCTTCCTTGTGGGAAGGCAGCATCGCTGTCATGCTGGTTGTCTGAAGGAAACACCTTACTGCCGTCACACCTCTGTACAGTCAGCAGTACTTCGCCTTCGGAACTTGGTTTTGCTGCTTTTAGTCTCACCGCTCTTCAAACGACCTGCCTGGCATGGTAGGACCTTGAGGAACGATTGTTCCAGCCAGTATAGCTCGGTTGATTCATCGCGATAGGCAAGCACGACCACCACGTCAAGGTAGCAGCAACGGTCGGGTTAGTACTTATTTGCTAGTTATTTATCATCTAGAAGACACTATGTTTATGTATATAAACATAGTAAAAGATGAGTGTCTTTTATTTAGATAATTATTTTAATATCTATGAAAATTACTTCGTCATACCAATTTAGAATTTTTCATTTGTCACTTGAATAAATGTCAGCACAGTTTTATAATGAATTCGTTGTGAAAATGAACCAAAATGGCAACACATTGGGAAGATGACAGTGAACGTTTGGATGATTAAAGAAATAACAATTGATAATCATAAATGAAATAAATGTGAATTTTTAGTATATATTTTGAGTTGTGCAACTAATATTTATTAAACAGTAAGATAGTTCACAATATACTGTAAATTACATTGAAGAAAATAATGTTATTTCAGTAGTACACAAGTATTGAAAGCCTCTGATATTAGGCTCAATTTGTTTATAAATGTGTATATTTCCAGAATATACTACGCTATATTGTAAAATAGGTCAGATTACTTAATTACTTAACATAATAATTATATATCACCTATTCTTTCAGAATGCATTGGAAACTGTTTTCATTTACAAATTATTGTGATTTTAATGAAAGAACAACTAACTACATCAAATAATTATGAAGGTTTGTACGGTCCCGTTATTTATATTTAGGACTGCAAATCACCTTGATAAAGTCATTTATCCACAAGATTTTGAAGTTGGACATTGGATATCAACAGACTCCAGGAGATGAGTATCTTTTTTTGCGGGACATATCTTTAGGAAATACCTGGATCACAATGTTGACGGTAACATTAATCAGTTACTGTCCGTAATATCCACAGTAAGAAAATACAAACCCTAACCGATAAAAGTTAAAACCCTTTCTGCAAGCTTGTGGTTATCTGAACTCAGTAGATAACGCAATGGCGTTTGTAACGTTAAGTATTCGAGTCTCGGTTTAAGTATTAATAATGGGATGTAGGCAATTTCAGCTGACATGTTTCGAATTAAACGAAGCCTGATAACTTGATTCCACTGCTAACCACTACTTAAATTAGCAATCCAGTTAACGGCCAATATAAACTTTGTAACACACGTTATAAGATAGCAAGATATATCAGTTCCATCATAAACAGAAATAAATATTACAATATTACAACACACCGTTTGACGATATAGATTTGTCTGTAAGAAAACTTTTCGAAAAATTCAGACTAGTTAAACAAAATAATGTAAATAGTTGAATTTAAATAATTTTATAAATATAAAACGTTTTATCTCGGATCACAAATCAATAATTATTGGAGTTGCGAAATTCCTTTGACTAAATATCATAGTTAGTATTATTTCTTAATCTGAAGTAAATAAATGAGTATTTTTGTTTGTTGGATTATCAACGAAAATGCAAAAACAGCACACTTAATATACAATGTATTGTTTTAGAATGTAATGTATGAGTCAAATCAGTGGATACAGTTAAATAATAAGCGCACACAAGATAATTAAGCATTTAATGAAGTTTGTAATGATCGATACTATACTATACGCAATAAAGTTGTTTTCTCACATTATAAATATCAAGATTTTTCTAGTTCATTTCCATCATTAACTGGAGTCAGTTAAAGAGACAATGGCATAAAAGCAGAGATCACTATACAGTAGTAATTTATTTGGTATAACGACTGAGAGCCATGAATACACTAAAATCAAAAATGAAGGCTTTCGGATTTTGATCAGTGGGTTAAAGTAGCGTCCTACTAGTCATGATAACTAAGGGTCATATTGGTAAATACTAATGAGAAGCTACGAATTGAAGCACAACAACTTTTCATTACTACGTAGCAGTGTTAAGTTTCAAGACAAATGAATTAAAGACTCTTAGAGAATGCAAAACTAAGTTATTGTGAACAACTTTCCAATATTAAATGGAACATTAAAACATCGAAATTTTATGTACTATGAAGTCTGACCATAGAAACTAAGCGTTTCATTGATAATTTTAGTTAATTGGATGGGACAGTTTGACCTTGCCAGTAGCTCAAAGGAATTAAAACTCTTGTCTTTCCAGAAATAAGGCGTCAGTTAAAGTTTACTTCTTGATGTGTTTGTTGGGCTTGCATAATTCTGTCTGTGGCAATATAGATGTAACTACATTAGTTGTACATTATCGCCTATGTTGTATCTATCCTTTCTCAATAACCATGTACACATAATTGTTTGCAAGGTCTTAATGATGCAACAACTCACGCACCAAGGATGGTGAATATAGATGGCTTGACCATAACTGCTATCGTAACTCGTGGGTCGAGTTCGTGTATCAGGATGATCCAATTAAACTACAATGGGTCACAACATCAATTCTAAAAGTTTCTACCATACCAAGGTAATCAGTTTGAAAGTGGTAAAATAAAAAAAACTATTCGCGGGCCGAAGGCGAAATCAGACTGTTCTGAAGTTTGATGGCAGTAACATATTTCATTCAGAAATCTGTATCTGCCTTCTCACAATGGAAAGTATGTGTTAGAAAACGTAGGTTCAGAAAATACCATAATTACCCTTCTAACACGAACTTCCATTGTTAGGAGTAAGAACGTAAAATGATGGAGCTAACGCAACAAAGACTACTTGAAAAAACAGTGTGACTGCACTCGAGATACTATTTACTGTCCGAAAGATCACTTACTAAGTAGACTTTCCCTACACGCACCTTAAGAAGTATTCTTCCGTATTGTCAGTCAGTCGCAAGGCGTACGCATGTATATCGGTTCAAATTACCATACCTCATTAACACAGCAAGATGAATTTGTCAGGCCAAATTTGCAATTTACATGACCGAGACATAAGGATCGCCCACACACCTCTAATAGCAAGCGACATCATCTTGTTCATGATGCACCAGATGTCAAAGAGTACTTGGCTTAAATCTGACTATGTACAGCATGTCATTTATGAGTTAATTCAAGATTTAAGGATATGTCAGTTAAGTTTCTCAAATTCGTACTTGTCAGCAATCGGAAAAGTATTGATGCTCACGGCTGAATACATATTCAGAACTTAAGCTAACCTTTCATTTGAACACGGCTAGACGGTATTGAATGAAAGCGAGATTCTTTTTCTCATTACACACCTATCAGTAAACATAAAAGCAATTTTTGTGAGTTGCTGAGTCGAGAATGTGGTATCAGTAAATACAATAATTTTCGTAGTTCAACAAAAATATATTACTTATCTAATGGTATGTAGCACAGCCAAATAAATTAAACAGAAGGGACGATTGGTGGTGGGAAACAATAATATGAAAAAGGAATACATGATTTCTGTGAGGGAAACTGTTCTACTCACATATCTGAGTGAGTGAGCAAGGGCGCATACTTATTATATCACACTATATATATAACAGAAAAAAGCTGACTGAGTCAGCAGGATAAAAGGGACAAGAAAAACGATAGCAATAGTTTCGCCTTGACAGGCAAGAAAATACACACGTCCAAAAAAGGAGAAATGAGTGGGGAGGATAACGAAACTGAGAAAAAAGCTTTTCAGGAAATCAGGAAAGGAATGTGCAGATCTGATTACAATGGAAATGAAAAAAAAAACAACGAGCCTTCTACACATTAATAATAATAAAGTCGTTCACATTTTCATATCGACATATTCATTCACAAAAAGGCACAAAAACAACAGAATAAGCGCAATAAAACATGAACAGTGTATGTTGATGATGATTACTGTATGGTAACGTGAACAAATAAGTGATGTTATCGAGTAACTTACTATGTACCATCAAGAAATTTTTTTAACAATTACTTTGTTCAACAACCGAAAGACTGAAACTGTGATATGGACACGAAAAATACACAGATATATGTGTGTTTATTTGTATGATTTTATTAGAGATAAACAACCAAGAAAAGGTATGAATGATGAATTAATTTATGGGCTCCGGATCATAATTATCTTCTGCATATTTATCGTTCAATGGTACATAAATAGGATTCATAAAACCAATTGAAGCAGCGGTACGACTTAGGTTTAAAGCTGACAGTGTGAATTTATCATTTGATTTAGTTGAATGAACCATATTATTACCATTACTACTATTCAACTTTCTTGGTCCACTAGTTTGCAATGAAATGAGATTATCATTATTATGAACATCAGTTCGTATAATTGACGGCTCAGATGACAGAAAACTATCAGGAATGTCATCAGTTGTCAATGACGATTCGGCTTCGTTGATATTATTATAATTATTGTTCACGATATCGGTGGTACTGGTTGTACTGCCAAAATATAATGTTGTTTTACGTTTACGTGATGTACGATATCTATCAAATGGTTTATAACGTCGTCGAATTTTAATACATTTATGAATACCGATACGTCGAAACAGGTAGACACTGAATATGCAACATATAGTAATAAATATAAATAGCATGATTCCACTAGACCAATGAATAGATTGTCCAACTGTAGGAACCGAATATAAGCACTGAATTAGAGAACAATTCTATTTCAAAGGTGGAAAAGAATGAAACATTAAATAGATAGTATATGAACTGCGAACAAAATATTATCAGTGAAAAAATGAGTATTACTCAAATATAAAGTGTAATCAAATTATGAGTTCATATCACAGACCGACCCTAGTTAGAGGACTATTGGAAACTAGAAAGTAGACAACTGTCGTATTAGTTATGTCCTAGTGATAATGAAAGCACGGGTAACTTTCGGGACCGATTAATGGAGGATTATTCATCATGTGAATTACTATCACTAAATAATATTCAGTTTATTGATTATTGTATCCCACGTTCGCATCCACATTAGCCTTGATCATGTACAAATATTATTTTCTATTTTATGGTGTGATGTGGTCTGTCTGTCTAGTATATAAACCGAGTATGCTTGAAATAAATGATTCGCATAGAAGCTGTAATTGGTGTTCTTGACTCAATTGGAAGGGATGGGGAGACAAGGGACCAATAAGGATGCTAGACTGCTAATATCAGTTGAACGTCATTAATTTGGCACAGTATTAGGATTAGAAAAGTCGTATGAAGATTGGTGGATAATTCACGTGATAAAAAGCCGGACAAAAGACCACAACATATTTGCATATGGCCTTGTTCTTTTTATTAAATTCATAACAGTATTGTATGACGAAAGTCATCGATTCGACTGAGGATCGAAAAATGACTTTCAGGTCTCGCGTTGATCTTCAGAGTGGTGAGGCAACATTTAATGGCTTACATATCTAATTTCAGTCAATCTGTAATACTACGCAATTGACTGCATCACACCCCATATAATTGGATTCCACTGGTCACGGCTTCACATTAAAACTCCGAAATCTACCTTTCGAAATTATTCACTAGTGAGAGTATAATTATTGAGTGTAATTTTTTGCGATTATTGAATTTTATAGTTTATGAGTTATTCAAGTAAGCGAAGAAAGGTAGTTTGTAAGAAATCAACGAAATGATCAAAAGGAAAATCTAATGTTCGGAAGATAATGTCTATTGAGACTCAGTAATGATAATGCTTAATTGAGTAATAACGCCGATCAATGACATGGTCAGTTTAAATTTACAAACCGAAGGTCTTAGATTCACGTCCCGGGTGTGGAACCGTGGATGTGTACTGTGAGGCGTTCCATACTGGACGAGATGGCCGTCCAGTGTTTCCAGGTTTTTAACGGTTGTCTAGCATTGATCTGTTCATGGTTTTAATAAAACTCTATTAATGTATTTTTATCACCTTCAACGACATGTCAAAACACCAAGTTATAAATGAATAAAATCGCAGGAACCAACGTCTCTATCCCGCCCATCTAGAAGTTTGAGTCGATCAATCAGTCACTAACTCAATACAGATGTTTATTATCTCATGAGCATCACGGTGAATTAGTTTCTGTGAAGTACTAACGTATTTATAATCAAACTGTAATTAACTACTTATCTGCAAATGGATACTTCCAATGAAGTTTAGATGGCAAACTACATCCACAAATTAACGGTTAAAACAAATAAATATGAATTATTAGTAATATTATTACATTCATACAGTAAATTATTAGCAATTGAATTAAAAAAAATAACATGTAACAGAATGTATAATTGTTTATTTTATTAAAAGGCGAAATTAATTTCAAGAGTAATATTTTTAGACTGAGATCATTTTGTCCGGACACAAATTTTATATATAAACATGTTATGACCAACTATTACGATGGTAAAAAATAATTTCTAACCAACTTATAATATCCATGTACTGTATTGAATAATGTGTATTTTCAATATATCATACATTCGTGTCCTTGGTTTATGTTGATTATTTCTATTTTAATATGATTTTCATCATAGACTAATGTCCATTGGAAGACCGAAGAAAATGAAAAAGTATTGCGACTGGAGAATTCCATTCAACATATTCAACTCATTACAAGTAATTGAATGTAAATCTGAACTATAAGGGCAATGCTTGAACTACTCTTCAAGTTACCTTGTCGAATTCTTGACCTTATTTAGCCAGTCGTAGACAGAAAGTATAGATGAATGATGTTTAATGTTAGGACTAAGATTCACACTTTAAGATTAGAGTTAGGGGTTAGTGACCAACAGTTATGATCTATGGTCGCGATGTACAGTTTAAGATTAGGAGTAAGTTTTACGACCAGTTCGTGTAAACTCTAATCTTAAGTCTGAACTCTTAATTCATGCTAGTCTTAGCTCTAACCTTAAATATCAATTTTAACCACAACCTTAAGCATCTAACGATGTTTTCGTTAATAAAACTGAACGCCTAGATTCGACAGACAACATTCCGTTGGATACATGATTTTAAAGTGACTTGTTCGCTTTTATCGGCTAACCATTCTTCTATTAATACTACCCAGGACATTTATGATTTGGAGTAATTCAAGGAATTAAATAGGTTGGTAATAATAAAGACATGCATCAATGAAATAAGATGAACGTAAAAGTAAATCTAGTTAGTTTAAGAGCTGGATTAAGTTTTATATGAACTATTGAACGTGCATTATTGGGCACTTTAAAAGCCAGAAGCAAATAGTTATCCGGTGCTTTACCTTTTCTTTAAAAAAATATACCAACTGATTGTGATCTGTCGTGAAAATTTCGATTTCAATTTTTTTTTATTTTAACAATATATACTCTTAAAAATAAAAGTTAAAAAGTTATTGTGTCAAAGGCTTTTTTTATTTTTAGCACTGAGAGAATTCTAACGATCCAGTTGCAATACAACTAACAGTCTAAGTGGCATGAAATAGAGTGTGCAACCTAACCTTCCATGTGAGTCACTCAGACTAGTAACAATATACTGCAGATTGATCGATAGAAATCGATCGGGACTAAAGGGATTGAACAAACATGGCAATGACTATTACTTGGTGATCAGTCAGTTGTAAATAATTTTCTTACAGAAGCTAAATCGCAGCCAGAACATCTCAATGGTACCGCATCGCACAGTGTGAAAGTGGGTGACAAAAAGGTTCCGATCCCATAGAAAGTAATGTCTCGTCAAGATTACAGATGACACCTCGATGACGAGTGAGAAGTAATACGAATGATAGATCAAGCAAGATTACCAGTCGACTACCACCAATCATTCAAGTCTTACTTCACATAGATTTTTATTAAATAAACAAATGAAATAATTACACATTGTATATAATTTAGTTTTTATTATTATTCTGAGTTCATATTAATCACAATTTGATTGCTAATTGCTAACTGATTTGTTAAAAACAGCTAAACGTAATCACGTTTCAGTCATGTTTGACAGAGCTGATGATGCCACTTTAGCGGTCAAATAAATAAAAGCACGTGGATGAGAGATAATTGGGTTAATAGTCCACTCCAATGCTCCACTAGCCGCAAGATAAAGATTTGAAGTACATAACCCAAATAAAGAAATCAATACAGAATATTAATAAAATAATACATGACAATTGTTGATACCTCAAACATTGGTGGATTTATACTGATGTAACAACCGAATTTGGTTGATCGCGTTTTTCCATCGTGTATAAGTGAACAATAATTTTCAGCATATGAATAAGTATTACTGCCACCATGAACCATTTCAGCAGCGAGTAAATGATTTCGTATAAAATTGAAATCTAATGACACATCAGTGAAATTATGATCAATTAAATCCCATCTAGAAAATTTTGTTTAACAACAAATCAAAAATTATTGATGATAAAAATAAAAAAACTGGATGAAGTTTTTATTTCTACAAATATTTCTTCCAAATGGAAAATGATATGAGGCTAGATATATCTTGGTATGTTCGAGTGAGAAGCAGTCAGTTTTTTACTTTCATACTGCCTCGTAGTGAAAGCCTCTGCCAGGAAATTTATACTCATTGCTTCCATATGGTGAATGTCTCCACAGTAATGACAACGTGGTAGCAAACGTACAAAGTCGAAACAGCGTTGGTAGGAAAGATTATCCAGAGAGTAGCGAGAAAACCCTTTTTAAAAACTATTGGTAGGGATAAACACTAAAATCTAAAGAGAACAGACAGCAAATGAATCTTATTTAATTGAAGGTCACCCAGAGCTATGTGTATCTCTTGAACTTTTGCTCCTACCTTGTAAATCAAATGATCCGTTAAGACAGTTGACAACTGATTGATTTCAGCTACTTCAAACTAACCATAAAAATCTCAAATAAATACACGTATTAAAATTATACGGAAATAAATATCAGTCCACTTGAATAGTGCATAAATAAATTGAAGTTTCACAAGTACACTGTATTATAAACTAAATAACTTGCTTAATGAAAGAAATCATATTTGTCAACAATCTGTAGCTGTTTGGAAGAAAAATACTGCACTGTAGAATAGCTAAGTTTTATTTGTTTGCTTTAGCAATTCATTAATTAGGTGCACCCTGAGGTGTTAACATAACAACAATACTTATCGTAGTTGAAAATATTTGGTACTGCAAATCAGTCGTGAAAGTACAGGTTGATCCTTACAAATGTCCATTTTAGAGAGTTAAAAATGCAATTTACTTGTTTGAAATAGGATTGAAGGACTAAACAATTAAAGAATTACATTTGAATGTTTTATTTTTTAATTTTAATGCATTCAAAAAAATTGCCTACAAAATGTTTGAAATTCATTGGTCAGTTACAAATTATCTTAAAATAAAATAGCAAAGAATAATTAAACGAGAAAAATACACAATAATTATAAAATCAGAGCTCTGTAATTTCAAGAATCATTTGCTACCTATCACATAAACAAAAAAAAAACAGATCAAAAATTTAGTCAGCGCGATAAGTAATAGTGATATAGACATATCCAATGAACAAATGAGTAACAATATGGACTGGAAAAATTATTGGATAACGAGCTGGCGTTTAAAAGCGATAGGTATTAAGTTAAAATATTAACATGAACAAATGTGGAATGAGGGTAAATTTAAGTAATGAGCCGCGAATAGGAAGAAGCACACGTTTTAAGCACTAATTTTAAGCATAAGGAGAGACATCGTCTAACATGGCGACCACCTGCACCAAACCAACGATGGACTCAAATAGACCATATTGTCATCAGTCATCGTTGGAGAGGCTAAATAGAAGATTGTCGCTCGTATTGGAATACTTGTTTAGACTCTGATCACGCTTTAATACGAGCGCGCATTTGTCTGCGCCTCAATGGACGCAGGAAAAGTACACTAAGAAGACCAATTAAGATTGAACTGCAGGACGAGAAAGCCAAATGCGAAATCCAGGAACAACTGAGTTCACATCTAAGCAGTTCTGTAAACAAGACTGATACAGATGCTGCTTGGAAAGACATACGAACAGCTGTGGAAACAGCAGTTACATCAATTAGTTATTTAAACCATAGGGCTCCAAAAGACCAGTGGATTTCTTCTAAGTCTATTTCACTGATGGATTCGCGTAAACTCATCCCATCAGGCTCTAAACATGACGAAGAGCGTAAAGAAATTAGATCTAGGTTAACTAAAAGTCTAAGGAACGATCGTGAGCAGTGGTGGGCAACGAAAGCAAAAGAGATGGAAAAGGCAGCGGCTATAGGGAACACCAGGCAACTATTCAGACTAATAAAAGTAACCGGAATTAAGAAGTCAAGTGTAAGTGAGACGATCTCGGAAAAAGATGGAACCCTTATCTGCTCTCAACCCAAACGTTTAGAACGATGGGCGGAACACTTTAAGGAGCAGTTTAGCTGACCTTCAGCTACTGCAAAACTACCCACTATTCCTAGAAAACCTGAATGGAACATTGAAGTAGGCCCCCCGACCCTCAGTCAGTCAGTCAGTCAGCTACAACGTAGGACCAGGCACATATATGCATCGGTCCAAGTTGCCATACCTCTTTAGCACAACAAGATGAACACCGGATTCATAGAAGCAATTAATTTAGTGATGGTAGTATATAAAGAAAGATTGTATAGAAGGATATAGTACAGGAAGGAAGAGAGATATGAAGCAATTTTAATCTCAAGGTTTAAGGGAAGATAAAGAGTGTATACACCTACGCCATTGTGATCGATTCTGAGCCATGTCACCTAGAGTCTCCAACCATTTATTACGATAGTCACGCGGACCCCAACCAGGTAGTCTGCATCTGCCAACATGGCTCAGGCTAGAAGTTAGTGACTTCAAACACTGATGCCATGTTTTGGTTTGGCCGCCCTTAACTCTCTTCCAACCGTCCCCAATACTAGTCATCATAGCGCGTCGTGGTAATCGGTGTTCAGGCATACGTAACACATGGCCCAACCATCTCAGTCGATGAAGATTTATCACCTCATCAACTGATTTACCATCGTTACCTAATACCCTGCGTCTAACCTCACTATTACTTACTCGGTGATCCCAGCAGATGCGAGCAATATTTCTAAGGCATCTGTGGTCAAATACTAGTAACCTACGAGTATCTTCTACTCTTAATGGCCATGTTTCGCAGCCGTAAAGTAGAACAGAGAGAACTGCTGCGCAGTATACTCGTCCCTTAATTGATAGACGGATATCTCGTCTTCGCCATAGGTGACGTAAGTTGGCAAAAGCCAAACGAGCTTTTTGAATCCGTGCTGAGATTTCGTCAGACACCAACCCATTAGGGCTGATCAGACTTCCAAGATAAGTGAAGTTGTCAACGCGTTCGACTACTTCACTCCCTATCCTTAGTTCGAGTGTTGACGTAGGCCAGTCCTGGAGTAACAATTTACATTTGGATGGGGAGAAACGCATCCCAAACATCCTGGCATTATTACTCAGTTCCAACAGAAGACTCTGCATTTTGTCAGCGTCTTCACCAAACAGGACTATGTCATCTGCGTATTCTAAGTCGCTTAGTGGTCCCCCTGGTAGGAGATCAATTCCTGTAGATTCAGTCGAAGAGAGTGTTATTTCCAGCAACAGGTCTATAATGAAGTTAAACCCTACTTGAACTTCAAAAGGCTATAGGTAATCTGAAACGAGGAAGAGCAGCTGGTCCAGATGGATTGGCTCCAGAAGTCTTTAAATATGGTGGTCCGATTTTAGAGATTAGGTTGACTAATATTCTGGCTAAAATCTGGGAGACGGATGTAATCCCATCCGACTGGTCACAATCACTGATTGTCCCAACATACAAAAAAGGGCCAAAATCATCCTGTGATATCCATATAGGGATTAGTCTGACTAACATAGCATCTAAAATACTAGCCTCAATAATTATCGGACGCCTAAGACTCGTGAACTGTAAACACAAGAAAATCAGGCTGGCTTCAGACCTGTTCGTGGCTGTATCAACCACATATTCACTATTCGTCAGGTTTTGGAGAAATGACAAGCTTATCGGCGTCCGACAATGATAGTTTTCCTTGACTTGAAAGCAGCATTTGACTCTGTAGACCGAGAGGTTCTGTGGCAGTGTCTGTCATTGAAAGGTGTACTTCAGAAGTACATAAACCTTGTGAAGGCTCTTTACTCGAACACTACCAGTCGAGTGAGAGCTTATGGCGAACTGTCATATGATTTTACAACCTCAAGTGGTGTCCGTCAAGGCTGTCCACTAACCCCCATTTTTGTTTAACTTCATTATAGACCTGTTGCTGGAAATAACACTCTCTTCGACTGAATTTACAGGAATTGATCTCCTACCAGGGGGACCACTAAGCGACTTAGAATACGCAGATGACATAGTCCTGTTTGGTGAAGACGCAGGCAAAATGCAGAGTCTTCTGTTGGAACTCAGTAATAATGCCAGGATGTTTGGGATGCGATTCTCCCCATCCAAATGTAAATTGTTACTCCAGGACTGGCCTGCGTCAACACTCGAACTAAGGATAGGGAGTGAAGTAGTCGAACGCGTTGACAACTTCACTTATCTTGGAAGTCTGATCAGCCCTAATGGGTTGGTGTCTGACGAAATCTCAGCACGGATTCGAAAAGCTCGTTTGGCTTTTGCCAACTTACGTCACCTATGGCGTAGACGAGATATCCGTCTATCAATTAAGGGACGAGTATACTGCGCATCAGTTCGCTCTGTTCTACTTTACGGCTGTGAAACATGGCCATTAAGAGTAGAAGATACTCGTAGGTTACTAGTATTTGACCACAGATGCCTTAGAAATATTGCTCGCATCTGCTGGGATAACCGGGTAAGTAATAGTGAGGTTAGACGCAGGGTATTAGGGAACGATGGTAAATCAGTTGATGAGGTGATGAATCTTCATCGACTGAGATGGTTGGGCCATGTGTTACGTATGCTTGAACACCGATTACCACGACGCGCTATGATGACTAGTATTGGGGACGGTTGGAAGAGAGTTAGGGGCGGCCAAACCAAAACATGGCATCAGTGTTTGAAGTCACTAACTTCTAGCCTGAGCCATGTTGGTAGATGCAGACTACCTGGTTGGGGTCCGCGTGACTATCGTAACCAATGGTTGGAGACTCTAGGTGACATGGCTCAGAATCGATCACAATGGCGTAGGTGTATACACTCTTTATCTTCCCTTAAACCTTGAGACTAAAATTGCTTCATATCTCTCTTTCTTCCTGTACTATATCCTTATATACAACCTATAATTTATATACTACTACCATCACTAAATAAAATACTATGAATCCGGTGTTCCTCTTGTTGTGCTAACGAGGTATGGCAACTTGGACCGATGCATATATGTGCCTGGTCCTACGTTGTAGCTGACTGACTGACTGACAGCCACCAAATGAGTGAGAAAATGATCGACAGTGGTGAATACAACACACTTGGTGAACACTGAAAATGTTACCAATAGCACCTGATATCTTTTGCATGATAGTTCTCAACTATCCTCGAAAAAGTACGAAATTGTAGTTTAGCTTATCTCATATACATAATCTATTACTGACCTTGGAATACACAGAACGAACGACACGTTAGATGGGTTTTTTATTACGTAATTTATTCACAATCGAAACACTTATCCAATCTTAGCACTCTGCTAAACCAATAACGTTCGACCGGTATGAAAAGACTAGCGTCCTTATTGGTCCTTTGTTCGCCTAGACCTTCCAGTTGAGTCCAGAACACCAATAACAGCCTCCACGATATGAATCGTATAGTTCAGACATACTGGGTTTATATACAAATCAAACAGACTACATCGCGCCATAAAATAGGAAATAACATTTGTACAAGATCAAGCCAAAATGTAGCTGTGAACGTGAGAGATGGTATTTAATAAACTGAGTATAACTTAGCAACAGTAAATCTTATAATAATTATCTATACGTCAAAATGAAGCTTATAATAAGAAAATCAAACTAAGTAAAACTAAGAACATGATTAACTAGTATAAAAAGAGAGAAAAATTGAATTGTGAAATTTGGTTGAGAACTACCAATACCAATGTTGTTATTAATTTAAAAATAAAGAAATCAATCAACTAACCTAAGACATTGTCTTCCGGTAACAGACTGCATAATTTTTGTTTCATATATAATATTATGCTCAAATTTACTCATTGTTATCTTAGGGTTAAAACAATCAGGTCTTACTGGTTGATGATGTAGAGTAGAAGGCACATTGACATTTGGTGTATTACGATGATAAGATAATAGTTTTGATGATGTATCATTCATCAAAGCTAATGTCTGACAAGCAACAAATTGATGTGTTTCACATGAACTTGCCAATTGAATACTGCCTACACCTGAATCAATTCTGTTATTTTCAAGTGCAGTGTATGGCGCTTGATGAAACAGATAACAACCACCGGGATTTTCACCCGGTGGTTTATACCAATCTGTATATCTCACTGGTTCATTATCATAGGTTTCCCATGTCCAATTCTATAATATAAAGTTGGTAATTTGTTACTTTTTTAAATAAAAAAGTCAACGAATAAGGAATCGTGAATGCAAAATATTCGAAAAATTATCCAATGAATCTTTACAAAGACTGAGTTCTTACACGTACATTACCCATAAAAACTATGATGAATGATTAAGTGAGCACTGAATGGGTTCGCATAACCACTGTTAACAATCGACGTTTGAGGACAATCATAATTCTTTAATGTTCTTTAAATGTTCAATAACAGTGAGATATTTTGCATTTCCAAGCACTTTTTTGTCAACGTAGTTTCAGTGACGTACATAAGAGAGTAGTTTTTATTGAGGACTTTGCTTTAATCGTTTAAAGCCATCTACATATGTCTTTTGCAACGCGCTAGTGTAGCTTACCCCAACATAGCATTAACTGAATAGCTTAACACAAAAATGTTAGATAATGCAGATATATTGAGCAGTGAGATTCAGAAGTTCAACAAATTCCTGGACACGTATCTTATCCCTAATTAGTCATATTTCAACCTCGAGGTTAGTTCAAAAACCTATGAGCTTTCAAAGACGTACAGAGAGAAGAAACGATTGGATAGCAACAACTTTTACAATTTTATTATATTACAATTCGAAGACACAGATCGAAGGCGATGTGATAATTGGACAGTTAATATTAAATTCAAAAATCAAAACGAAATAGTTATATAACGTTTCGCACAGTTTCGCATCCGGTATTACCTCATGATGAACATTCAATGCAGAAATACCATTACTATTAATATCAATACTCCGTGAACAGAACTTAAACACTATAATGCATCTTATTAACTAATCTGTAATTTATATCACATCAATCTCTTTCGGCATTGTTATTAAAAAGATGAATGCTTAAAAGATGTTAGTCGTATTCAAGAAAATAAATTCGGTTTTTACACAAATAAAAGTACGGTTTTTCTAACAAATATCTACTCAATTGTGGTTTGAGGTATAATAGCATGTGAACAATCTGATCTATTCATCAATACCAGACAGATGTCCAGCTATTAGGTGGCACGCCCACTTATTTCGAACTGAAACAAGCACTAGTAACATTCAGAACCACTAACACTGTTAGGTTAGTTCATTCAGCAAGTACAGACTTGTGTAATTGACTTCAAGAAACGCGCTTGGTGTGAGGTATATTGTGAAACCAGCCGGTTGAGTGAATTAAAATAGGTGAAACGGAGTTCGAGCGTGCGACTTCGTAGCTGTAGTAAGCATGTAAATGATATTAATCAATGTTAACCAATTTGCTTCAACCGTCTCCAAATTTCTGAAAATAGCAACGTTACCATCATTGCGAAACGTCTCCAAACAAGCAAGCTAACAAAGTAAATGAAAGGAGTGAGAGAGAGGTGAGGAAACAAGAGTACCAAGCAAGCGATCATCAGACAACTAACTTACTGCGTAGCAACCAGGGCAAGTAGTTGGTACTTTCAAAGCTGTCCAAACTGATTCACTAATTGGCAGTCCACCACCACTGGCATCACGTGGTTGATTAAGCCATACACGTAGGAAACTAGCTTCAAACACTGATGCAACTGTCAGCAAACTGACGTTGTATGTTGGAGTGCTTAAGTTTTTGCAAGCCATATTTGCTGACTAAAGTGAAAAGCAAGACTGAATTTTAAAACAAAAATTGTTCCTATCGTTACTAAGTTTTCTTGTCAAGGATTTTTTAAGCTAAGTTGCCCTTAAGAATTGAGACAAAACATAGTAATAGTATGTTATCAGAACATTATATATATATATATATATCGGATAACCAGACGGATGCTGTTAACCGGTTTATATATATATATTTAGTAAGATATTATTGAGGATGTTGAGTAGCATGATGGAATGGATCAATTCTCTCATTGTTTTCGCTTTAGATACTGAGTTTCAAGATTATTTTATACAATCAGTTAAGCGAATTCATTCTTTCTTCTCGAATCATACTGTTTATGATTTGTCTTATCTATTATCAAACTGTCATTTTTCTTGACATTTTCATCTCGTATGCATATGGTAAAGGGATTTTAACCGCTGCATATATGTGCTACGTTTTACGCTGTTTTTAACGACCGACTGACTGAACCTATGGTCAGTAACTTTTGAGTCGAATAAAAGTGAATTCGTTGGTTAGAATGAAAGGGTGATGAAACATCCCATTCAGCGTATTACTTTGTTTTTCAGTTGACATAGCACAACTGCTACTAACATAATGTTAGTCTATAACAATATTATTCGTGCATCGTTGAGTAACATTTAGTGTTTCCTACATAATTGTTAGTTTATTATCTAATTAGCACTTAGCGAATATCATCTCCACCACAGATCAAAGCAAAAAATTTGTGTAAACACTGTTATTCTCAAACATTGAGCAGTTAACATCATGAACTGATGTTAGTTGGACAACCACTGGAAACTGGGAAAAACTGGATAGCTCATTTTGTACTATTGTAGAACTTCTCAATAAAACGTGTCCATGACCCTTCCAAGGGATCGAAACTGGGAATGTCAAGTTTCGCGTAAAGCGGTTAGACTTTAGATCACTTTGTAGATATTTAATGGTTCAAATATATAGCTTCGTCAATTCATCACACTTAGATTGTAATAAAACTAACCAACAAATATATAAAACACGCATAAGACTTACAGCCCAATTCATTTTGGCGACATGATTGAACACACGATAACACATAGGTTGGGAAAGTTTTGCCGATGATTGACCTTTAACTTTCAACAGACCAGTTGTACCCAACTGGAAACCTGATGGACAATAAAATATCTCTGTTCGATACGGAGGAAGCAACATTTGATTTACATGTCTATTTTGATTAATTGGTGACGCCTGACATACACTACTTAAATAAATTGGTTCATCACAAGACCATTGAAGCCAAATTCCATTCAATCTAGGATCAGTTGAACGAAACATCGACGTGCATAGCTAGTTGGCATTACGACACGATGTATGTATTTATGTGAATAAATAATAAAAAAGTAGATAAGAGCTGGTGCGAAATTCATTTCTGATCGAGACTTAAGAGAATTAAAAGAAAAGTACATGATACAATCAAAAAAATTAAGTAATATATATATGATCGAATGACTGAAATATGTGACTAGAAACTATTATTATTAGATTTTATAACAGTACAAGATAACTTCATTCGATGATCAATTGATTAAGAGATAAATATATTGAAAAGAATTTCGAATTATTGAATATAACTCGGTATGTACAAGTATATATATATATATATATATATATATATATATATATATATATATATAACTTAGCGATGTTATAATGACCAGAAATGTCTTATTAGTTTATGTACAAATTGAAGTATGTTAGCAGTGAGTAGTAGATCAAAATTATGATCACTAATATCAGTCAGACAGTATGCTGTTGACAACACCAACTGTTGAGTATAAAACTTTAAACAATAAAAACATTCTAACTATACTTGGAAAATTTCAATAAAAAACTTGTGATAAATTAGCATAATAAAAAATCCGATCTAGTAAAGTTTTTTGAATTAAAATAAAATAAAATATAATGTCGATAAAGGGAGGATGGGAATTTTAGACAGAAACATCTATCCAAAACGAAAGGATGAATTATTTTAAAAAAAACTCATATCATTGAAGAAAAGAAAGAATGAAAACAAGTATTTCATTGATCTAGATTTGGAACCGTGTCCTCAGTCAAATAAATATGATCATCACACAAATCGGAATCAAGAAATCTATGCTTTCATGAAACAATTCAACAGTTCATAATTTCGAAATCTTTCTCCAACCTGCTGATATGCTTAACAATGAAGTAAGTTGATGTACACGATATCAATACATCCTGATAAATACAAAAACCTGATTTTTTCAAGTACTGAACAATTTATTGAACATTTTCAATTCGAACAAAAGAAGTTAACTGAGATTTCGCAGTTTCCAGCAAGTGTGTCAATGACACAAACTCGTTTAGGTTTCACAATGGTTACTACATAGTTCGATCAACAGCAAATTTTTTTATTCAATGCTAATTGACATATAATCTCGAAATCAAGTGATTGCAGGACACTTTGGACAACTAAGAGACTTTAATCAGAGATGGATATTGGCTAGCAGTGGAATCCAGGACGCGCGTTTCGTCCTATTTGGGACTGGTCAGCTGGATGTACCTGCATCTCAGGGTTGATGTTCACTCTGGGACTCGAACCCAGTACCCTCGCTTCAAACGACATCGTGTTATCCACTCGGCCACTGAGTCCTGATAGCCACTTGCTTGTGCGATGGGGTGAAGTTTAAATTCATTTAGTGTTGTTTGTTTGAATCTTCCCATCGATGTGTTTGGACTGCAACTGGTCAGTCTCTAATTGGCATATGTGCATACTGTGCGTATTGACTCGATATAGCCTTTATTCACAAGCATGGTAAGCAGAGATGGATAGTGGTCTGCAATAACATATTTATATTATAAACATCAGTTTTATTTTGCATAACAGTATTACAACAGTTTAACAAAATTATTTTTTATGCAATTACTAAACACAAGCACATGCAAGTGGCTATCAGGACTCAGTGGACGAGTGGATAACGCGATGTCGTTTGAAGCGAGGGTACTGGGTTCGAGTCCCAGAGTGAACATCAACCCTGAGATGCAGGTACATCCAGCTGACCAGTCCCAAATAGGACAAAACGCGCGTCCTGGATTCCACTGCTAGCCACTATCCATTTCTGCTTACCATGTTTGTGAATTAAGGCTATATCGAGGCAATACGCACAGTATGTACATATGCCAAGTAGAGACTGACCAGTTGCAGTCCTAATACATCGATGGGAAGATTCAAACAAACAACACTAAATGAATTTAAAAGACTTTAAGTTAAATCTCATGCGAGATCACGGGTATTCATATATAATATTATTGTAATTCAATTGTCAAGAACACGTTACTGCATTTAGTTGTGAGGTATATACTATGTGTGAGGAGCTAGTGATACGACTCAAATATTAAAACCAGATTACGTGGAGTGAGCCTCAAACCTGAGAATTGTTGAAAGTCGGGAGCTCTGACCTTTGTGGTGTTGTACATAAATATTCACTAAAGAAAAATCACGATAAAAAATTATAAAGCGTCACTTCGGTCAGTAGGAACAATTAAGTAGTTAAGAAAAAACTCCAACTAAACTACACTCAGTCCGTATCAGTTTGAGCATTCAAGTGATATATTATTACCGTTTACATTTTTTTCGAGACCAGGAGTACCAGCAACGATTTGATTAGTGAGATTTAGATTTGAATAGATTTTCTAGAGACGTAAAACTAAGAAAAACGAATGTTGGGTATTATCATTTGGTTAATAACAAGTGATAAATTAATTGGAATAGAGAACCATGAAAATAACATACACTCATTGATTTCAACTTAATCGAAATAGTTGTTCGTGAAACGAAAGTATGACTATACAAAGAAAGCTGATGATCTCTTATAATTGGTTTGATGAATTGAGGTTTTTTACCATCTGCCCAATCGTAACTGTGGGAATTATGTGATAAATTACGGTACAAACCAATCCATACTGCAGATGATTTTTCAGGTTCAAGATTATCTAGGAGACTAGCTAGAAACTCTGAAATAAAAAATATAAGAGAGATGAACATAAGAAATGAAAAATATATGAGTCTCTTCTATTACACTAAGAGACACATATACGGAGGATGGAACTAGAGTCTTGTGTCCCAACACTGTTAACTATGAAACAAAAAATAATTAACATCTACCAGCGGAGATCAATCATATGACAGGAACTCATTGATAGACTGGGTCTATGCAGACATATCACATGTCTGTGTTCAGATGTTATTTCAGAGGCGAACAGTAGGCTAGAGATTATAAAAAAGGCATGCAACTAGCTAAAGCCAATTATACACCTAGTTGAGGTCTTAGCCTATATCTCCCAAAGTTTAGGTCAGAATACAGAGAGAAAGAGTTAATCACCAATACGCATATAATAATTATTTTATAGTATAAAATTTCAGAGTACTTAAATGGGTGAACTATGTGTTAACATCGTAACAGACAAAACGGCTTTGTTTAAGACATACATTGATCTCATATGTCATAAAATCCATAATGTTCTGGAATTGATGTTTTATTAGTTTCTAAATATGTTTAGTTTTTATTTATATCTTACATTTTAACTTTTGTTCAATAATCGACCTCTCTTGGCTATTGATCAACTCGACCGACGGTCAAAACAATGCACAACACAATAAATATCAATGTACACATGAAGACAAAAAGCATAATTGAAAACATTCTCAAATTTAATGAAATTAACATAATTATTCAGCACATTGAGATGGTGTTTAGAAAGATCGCATGTTTAGTTTAACATATGTTTGTTAAGGAATAATACAGTATCCATTAAACAAAACATGTACGTGAGATATACCCTAAATCAATGACTTTTTTATCAAAAATAAGGAATGTACAATTAGGTGACTCTGGAGAACTAAGTGGCTTAATGAAAAACACAGTAGTGTTTAAATTGATAAGAATTTGTGTTGGGTCTCAAGGTAAATTTCAACATTGGAAACCCGATATGTCCAAAAAACAAGTCCCAAAGAGGATAAAACGTGAATCCTATATTGTTCGGCTGTTGTTAATTGCTGTCTTTTAACTCTTCCTTTCTTGAATCCAGTCCAGGGTTTCGACAGATATCAATTCCTTATGATGGTGCTTTTTGCGACTTAGCACCTAACACGTTAAAGTTAGTGTTTCTATGATCTCTTTCTAGTTGTCCTCCATAGTAATGTCTTCTTCTCCCAGTAAATCTTGTAAGGCTTGAAACCTACTGCTGAGGGTTAACTTGAGTTCGTCGAGTTTCTCAGTATATCTAAGGAAGGCTGTATTGAACCCCAGTTGTCTAGTGTTTCTTTAGCTTTATTTTTATCTTGGCCATAACCAGGTGGTGATATGAATCTATTCCAGCTCCTCAATTAATTCTGTTCTTTCAGTAACCCGATTTGTTAGTGATACATATATGATCGGTCTCGTTCCCTGTAGAGTGATTATGTGAGACCCATGTAGTTCTATGCGTGTTTGTGTGGGAATAAAGTATCATATAAAATCATTCTGTTAAAGGCACATAAATCTGCAAATCTCCTTTCTACCAGTCAGTTCATGTTGTCCCATGATATCTTCATACCAAAAGATAGTCAGATCATTTCCTGGGCAAGTCTCTACGATCAACACCAGTGTATTATGAAATTGGTCTTAATTGCCTTCATTGCTATCATACGTGTGTGCACAGCACTGGATAAAGTTTATTTTGATCCATTTCTTCTTTGTTTTGAAAGATGCTTTGATGATTTTGCATTCATGAGATTCCCATCCTATAAAGGCTTCACGTGTTTACTTGTAAAGTATTATTTGAACTACTTTTGTGTGTGGAACACTTTCTTTTCCATAAATAGAGTATAAAAACATCTCTCCCGAATCTAATCTTTTCCGTCCAGCTTGAAACCAAAGTATTCCACTTATTCCGAGAACCGGCAACTTGCATCTCCTCCTTTCCAAAGCTATTTGAATGGAATTCCCGGTCTTCCAGATCGCCCAGACATTTTATGCACCCATAATAATCGTTGTTCTGGTTGTTAGAATGCAAGGTTGTTTTTCTATAGAATAGGGTTGCAAACCTCATGCCCAAACTTCCACCTGTATTCCGGCTTAGGTCCGGCAGTAAGTCTATATATGCAAGAAAAAAGCCTACTTCCATCTTGGAACCCGCTGACTGGGAGTAATGAGTTTCAGGTCACCATACCAGTACACTATTTCACCTGCGAAACAAAATTTCTATAATAATACAAATATTAATTGATACGTAAAAAACACATTTTTTTCTTACGCTGGTCAAGTTCGTTGTCGATACGGGCTAACGATCCATTAAAATTTGTGTATGGTTTCACAATCTGGTGACAATTGTCATTGGCTTCACTCCAGGTAAATTTGTCTGTAATCAACTATGTACAGAGGAGAAATTATATATATATATATATATATATATATATATATATATATATATAGTGTTTAATGCTCAGTTACCATTCGAACCTAAAAATGTTACACTTCTACAGGAAATCAGTAACGGTCAGTCAGTAAATCGCAACACAGAAATCGGTAGCCATACTCAATTAGTAGAGAAACATGAAATTGTCAAGCCAAATTTTAGAACGGTAGAGATAGCAACAGTATCAAAGGCAATAGAGAAGATTAGAAATCAAAGATACGACTTAGGAAAATACAACATGCTTCAACTCATGTATTTGCACGTTTGTGTTGTAATGATTACTGAATTGTATAGCATAATACTATGTGATGTAGAATAGTATAGTACAACATGAATAAACACGTAGCAATATCCGATAATCAAGATTACCAGCCCCACAGCTGAATGAATACGGGATCACAGTCATTTACATAACACTGAAATAACATTATTATCATAACCCTAACTATACACACTGTTTATCAATACACACAACGTATGAAATAATTTACTTGTAACGTTTATAATTAGTAAAAGAAAAATTGAACAAACTCAAAAACTCCCGACATTTCATTTCCAGTGAGCAGAACAGAAAAATAGAACAAACATTGTTAAATTGTAAGTGGTTTACAACAAAACACAAAACAATGATGACAGAGATATGATTAAATAATTTTGACAATATTTATAATAATACCAATCTGTTTGTACACACGGCACTAGGTGTATAATTTGTACATATGTATGCATATGCACGGTTTCACTTATGTGCGTAACCGATAATGTACAAATACGCTGGGTAAAATACCACTGTAGTCGTCTGCTAATTCACAAAATCCCATTGCATGAAATAAGGCGGAATTTTTAAAAACCGCAAATGGTTATTCACCTCACAAGAATCGAAGATTATGGGTATGACTGAACGTTTGAAGTGTATTGAAAAAAAAACACTAACTCCAGAAAACACCCAATTAGGTTTTAGATATTGGAGTTCCTGGAGGCAGTCAACAAGGAACTCTACGGCTGGATTTCGTGCTAGTTGCCACACCCCAGCAGCATATATCTGGAATCTTAGATAGGATCGATCCCTTTCGTTTAATTTGCCGCTCCAATCAGTTAGTGGTTATGTCTCTTGTTGGAATATAAAATAACCAAGATGTTCAAAACACACGGAGCATTATTTCGCTAAACAATCAAAATAAGCGTAGTCGATGAGCACCAACTAACAATAAGCCATAGAGCTTACTGTCAGTCGCTACCAGCCAATGGGAATGTAGTGCAACCAATGTTCAGATATGTCAACTATCGATCACATTCAAACTTGATAACTAAAATTCAATCAATATTGAGTAGGATGTTGTTAAGTAATCAATGACTAATTAGTGCACACTATAAAGAGAATTATTTAATGTGTAGATAAAAGATAAATATAACAATAATAATTTACTTGGAAACAACGGTCACGATGAGATCGGAAACCAGGAGGACATGTTGGGTATATTAATGAATCAACTGTAGTTGGATCTGGCAACGTTGTAGATGGATTCAAATTCAATCTACATATAAAACTCAAAGACGTTTTATTACATGGCATAGCTTTCCAGTTTATTGATGAATTAACTATTAGAATAATAGGAAGAAGAGAAAATGTTCTTTAGTTATAGTGAAACAGATATATGTGTAACAGTGTCTAATTACAACCTTGCGCATGTTATTCAGAAGTTTGATGAATATAATGAATTTTTTTCATAAAAATATTAATATAGCAAGCTGTTATAAAAAACTAAGTCAAATAGTATTTCATTAGGGATCCTAGGTAGTTTCAATTTTAATTTATCCTAGGTAGTTGTAATTGTTTGAATAGATGGACACTGATTTCGAACTGGGAATATTTTCATTGGTTTTTAGTAAAATTCCGTTCTCTGAGCTGAATACTTTCGCTGTGGATCTTCAATCGTTTTTCTGAACAACATCATCAACACAAACTTCAGATCGACTTAAACAATTCGCATTTCTCCATATGCAACTCTCAACTTGTCTTGACAATCTCGATCTTGATTGGCTATTGCTGACCTTTACACTATCAGATCTATTAGCAATCAACAAATGCATAGAAATCGATCCAATTTATTAGCCATGAACGAATATAGAACCAAGAATCAGATCGGAGGGAGATACAATCAAAATAAACAGGGAGATAATGACAATTGAAATAACCAATTGAAATCGAAGACAAGTTGAGATAATATCGTCTGAGTTAAGGATCCTACATGAAACATATTAAATGTAAATATCAATCTCTTTATAATTTGATACAACTCATGAACTGTGTGACCATATTGTTTCACAGAAAATAGAACCGAAGAGCTACCAAGTATTGTGGTAAGTACATCATTTAAATCATTACAACTTTGTAGTTTACTAAAGCAAATATCCAGCTTTATTCAATCAGCGTGATAGCATAACAACCATTAATAGTCAAAGGACCGTGTACCTGTTCAATTTTATCAATATGAATGAACCACGATAATCCCTGATTATTAATGTACACACAGTTGACAGCAGTAAACCAAATAAGAAATTATCTTTGAGATTAATTAAAGTTTACTGAACGTCATATGTTAATTCCATTACTTAAAATAAACGGATGAAAATTACGTTATCAAAAAATGAAAATATGAATCCTAATTTGAACACAAGTTCATTTCCATAGTTTACATTATGAACTGACAACTGTCGGAAACTACGAAGCGCGGGGTAGATATTTCTTCCTAGTATAAGACTACTCAGCACAACATATCCCCGACCTCCCTGGAGAAGATGGATGGATAATATCCAAAATTAATCAAAATTAGAAATGTAAAGCGTTGTGTTTCAACTTAATGGTTTAAACATTAAGCGTTGATTGAGTGGACTGAAGTTCCTAGGTTCGATCCCAAGTGAGGTAGTGATAAGTAGTTTTATGCTAGGACTTCGTAGTTATCCAGTATCTGTTAGTTTTCCAATGACTGTCCCATCAAGGTGTCTTCGAAATAAACTATTAAGTTCAACAATATTTGCAAGCTCCCCATAAATATTTAGTTTTTTTTTAATCGTAACAAATAAAACAAACCTGAATCCAGCGCAAAACAATCTTGCATGTAATGTCTCGACTCTTTACTGATGTCCGCTGAAACTGGTATATAATTAATATCAGTTTGATCAGACCATTTGTAAGCAAAGTTTGATTCATACAATCCAATCCAGGTAGTGCGCATTGATTGTGAATTTCGACGGATAATTTCAGTCTAAACAGGGAATATATTTTTGTGTCAATATAAACATTTGTAATAAAACGCATAGACTACGTACAAGTAGCATGACTAACTGTAAAGATACATTTGTCTTACGTTGAGAAAAAAACCTGCTGGCTTTCAAGAACCATAAAATATATGTATAAAGAACGGTTCTTCAGTTCACCTTTAAGAATAGAGATCAGGTTCGGTGGGGGAATTAATAGAATGTGTCAGGATATATCAGGGTACTTAAAAACAGGATTAAAACGGAAGCCATATTGAGATTACATGAGAACACAGGTAAGATTGCTGATTAATAGGCTAGTATCAGAAATGTTGAAAATGGAGGGTTGGTTGTAATCTCGTTTCTTCAAACGGATTATCTGTAGGATGATGTTAACACTAGAACCATTTGTTGATTGTTGATCGAAATATGTTAATTATGAATACACCCGTACAAGTCGGGTGTTTTCTGAAAAATAAATATTAGCAATGAACATCCAAAGACTACAACCTTCAAATAAATCTAGCAAAAAAATTTTTTTTTTAAGAATCAGGCATAGACAATATGATTTGAGAAGGAACAAGGAGTGAATAAATCTGAACCATGTCAGTCAGTAACTCCAAATATTACCAACGATAGTCGCGCGGATCTTAACCAGATAGTTTCAACCTACTTGTATGGTGGTTAAGATCTGTAGTTAATAATTTCATGAACTGATATTGTCTTGGTTTACCTTCCCCTAACTTTCATCACAGATACGCCCTCGAAATCAGTAAACATGTCAACAGGTTGCCAAATGTTTTTTTCTTGAAATTCACACTTGTATACGTATCAATAATTAATGAATAATTACAAAACAATCACACTTACAATTTCATTTAACTCAGTATGTGAATGAATTGAAACAAGATGTGCATTAGCGTGCATATTACGACAAATTGATTCAGCATTGCTCCAATCTATTGCATCACTCAACAATTCACTATAACAATATGGACCAATTTTACTACGTATTGGGAATGATTTCTCGGTACAAGTTGTAGTAATAGTAGTGGTAGTAATCAGTGGTGATTTGATTTCTTTGTTAAATTTAAGAGAGAGTAAGAAAATTACCTTTATAAATATATTGTTAATCAAAAATAAACTTAATTAAGAAATGCATTACATATACAGTTTCTTTTCGAATACGTTTTTCCACGCTTCTTCTGTTTCATTGTCACTAATACTGTCACTATAAACAGCGAACTCTGGTATCTCACTGAGATGAGGTGGGGTAGCAACTTGAATGGAAGGCCATATGCTCCAGGTTCCAAGTTGTGTGTCGGCTGACTGGAATATAATTCCTAAAACAAATCCAGTCCGAAATAGGCTTAAACGTTTTTATGTTTGAAGCGATTAGGAGTTCATCTAATTTGAGAACGGAACAAAGTCTCTATGAGCAAAGACCAATAAGCTGGTTATTCTGACGCGTCCCAGCCCAGCTAACAAGAGAAGTTCAAGATCGGAAGAGGGAAATATATTCCACAAGCAATCACAAGACGCACAAATCAAACGCATATATACAGCACAAAACTGTCCTTGGGAAGCGTTACAAAATAGCATACAAAAAGATATAACGAACCAATAGTGGGAAATACGACATGAAGGTGAAAATGAGCGCTTTTAGCGTGAAAACAAGAAATTCAAAATTTTAAAATAAAATTACAAAAATAAGGCATTTACCAAGTGAATTCTAGGGATCTAACGTCCCCAACGAACTAAAATCGACATTTTTAAAACAACAAGTTGCATATGTAACTTGGGATCTAATGCCTTAGAACTCATGTGTTTAGTTACTAATTTCCAAAGATACCTGAGGATTTTCTTACAAATACCTATGTACATTATTAATCGAAACAGTAATAGACTTTCTTTGTATTTCACAGTTGAAGTCACGAGTCGATCTAAGCTAGTTTTATAATGTTAAAAGAATGAGGTAAGAAAAACGACGAGGATAGAAATGAACGAGATTGTCATTTTTTGTCACTGAGTCTTAATTTTGAATAGGACAACTGAGTATAATACGTAATACTGGTATTTATAAAATGTCACTTCTTACTGAGTTAATTATCTGAAAAAAGTAAGAGTTTACGTGTACTACCACACATTGGTGATGATCATTCTAATGAGTTTATAGTTTCAATACTTTTTGATGCATGATGTAAGTTTACAAGATAATGGGAACTGATTTTTAGCTTCGTAAGCGCAAACTTACATGATTAAAAATTCGATTCTATTTACCAGTGAAAACAAAATATTACGCCTATACAATGACAATAATTAATGTTATATGTCTGTTAGTGTTTTACGACAAGGCCTATCTGAAAACCATAGGTCAGTTAGTCACGATCAACGTAGACGCATAACCACACGTACATACGAACATACACGTTTACCTCGTCTATCATCCATAACAGTTGTTTGCCGTTGCTGTTGTTGTAGTAACAGATCAAGTTTAGGAAATTGGCAAATAAAACTTTTTTCCTCCATACAATCATTAATATCCCATGAATAATGGTGATGTTTATCAGTGACTGAGATACAATTTTCAGGATATTTTAGTTCACTCAATGTAGCAGAAGTATCGATTGAAGGAAATACAGAGAAATCCATAACTGAACCATCACTCCATACTAAATTCACCGATGACGTAGGTTTTATACCATAATCTGTAGTTAGGGTTCAAAAAGACAGAGAGGTATGCGGAGATGAGTATAAAGAGATAGGAAAAGACGATACAACAATATAGTTGACAGTTAAATTTCTCTATGACATTCAATTAACATTCTATTGAGGATACTACTGTACACTCGAGAAGTGTAGAAATACATGATACAGAAAGGGATTACTATACAAGGATTTTAGATGATTGCATTATGAAAAACTTACACAGCAGCCATTGCTTGAGCACATACATTATTCATTGATACCCCCTACATTCTAATTGGTTTGACTATCTCACAGACATTTTAGAATCGACGAAGGACAGTCAGGTATAGTATTCTTTCACCAGTTCAATCATTACTAATTAAGCCCAAAATAGACAGGAAGACTAATTTTCAGAGAAATGTTTTTCTTCATCTGCGATTTACTGCAACACAGCATCGCATACACACATATACATTTTATTATGATTAAGAGTAATGGAATAAGGTATTTGTACGTGCATTTGTAGAAGGTCTGCAACTCAGTGCTAAATACATGTCCAATATCTAGCATTTTTCGGTTCATCTGGTACAGTTAAAATATTGAGGTTAAGACAAATAAACACTAACACCGACACATCTATGTGCTATTTTCTTGCAAACTAATCCGTAATAAAAAAATATAAACTTGCAGAACTATGGATAGTGTGGCTGCGTCAATGATCACAACAGTAAGATAAAGTTAAACAATAAAACTTCAACAGTTTATTCTTTCGACCTGGATTCCGATTGCGTGGCTTGCGTTGATGCTGGTCCTGTTATTGTTTGCTGAATATATATATATATATATATATATATATATATATATATATATATATATATATATGCAGAAAGCAACTTCACAAAATAATGATTGAAGTTTGAGATGTAAATTGTTGTATGATGGCTCAGTGGTCTAGAAGTTAAGCACTCGTTTTGACACTTGAAAGTTCTAGGGTAAGCCTCCAGCAAGGTCGTGGATACGCACAGTTTAGGAGTCTCATGCCGATATGAGAGAACTTACCAGTAATTCCAGATCTTCAGTGATTTTCTAACTAGCAGTAGTCTGTGATACATACTGTGAAATAGAAATTAGTTATGCTCTTACGATGAAGATGAAAATATAGTTAAATGTAAAAGATACCCTTAGATTATAAGTAATAAACTTTCCTCTTGATTCAGAGTGAGCTGCTTCGTTTTGTATATATATATATATATATATATATATATATATATATATATATATATACCACTTAGAAGTCATTTTCTTTCCTGCAACAGTTTTTCAACAACCTCCGAATTCCCTCCACGGTATTAGTATTGTGATCACATACAAGATCTACGAAGTGTTACTTGTTGATAATAGTCTACCGAGACATTTTTACGCTCTCATCATCAATATACACACTAGTATCTAGCAGCAATGGACTAGTTTTAAAAAAATACCAACAGCAGTTGGATTTTTTTGTATTTACAAGGGATCAAATGAACCAGATACTTGTCGGCCACATAAACGTCATAAATTTGAGTAATCTTAAGAAACTGATGATTGTTCGTATCGGTATTTATACACACACAAACATCCCAAGTATTTAAGATAAGGTTAGAATTGTGACTACAAACATAAATTTTTAACGAGAAAAATAATCTTACAAAAGGCTTTCAAACCAATCCAGAACGACGATGATAATGATCTGTTAATTAGAAATTGTAATTCTTCTGAAGAATGTACAGAAGCCAAATGACCATTGTTTGATGATCGGTGGTTTACAAGGTAACCGGCCTTTTCTTGACAGACACGTTCTGCGTTTGACCAACTCGTTCTATCGCGTACCGATGGTAACCAATAGCAATTCTCTCTGAATGATATCCAACCTTTTGGACATAATGGTAAATTCACCTGTTGCTGTTTAATATTTGTAGGCAATCGTTTTTTCCCTATAATGCGTATTTTAAAATGAGAAAAGCAATAGGAATGAACTACAATTTGAATATTACAGTTTACGTAAAGGATTTAAATTTGTATAAAAACCAATGAAAACTGAGAAGCAGTGGATCTGTAAAGAGTCTTGAAAGATGTCCGCACGCACAACTTTACCAGGAATAATACAAATGACCTTGAGAATTCGCGGTCAACATTTAAATCACCGAGTTGTTATTAAATGGTTAACATTTTTGATTTTGATCGGTTGGTGATGTTGTGCATCACCACTTTATTCATTGGAATTGTGAACGAGCACTGTTTTGAAGTCCCATGCTAGGACGAACCAGACTCCAAATGTTTTCTACCTTCCAATTTATGTGAAATCGATGGTAGTTTGTTGTTTGAAGTATACAATATCAACCCTGCCAGAGTGTTTGTAATCGAGATTCTTATTACATTTCCTATTAGCTGAACGAAAGAAAAAACTAGCAGTATATATATATATATATATATATATATATATATATAAACACGGTATATATATTGTAACGGAAAGTTAAGAGCAAAAACTATAGCTGAGAAAAACCAAATGAAAAGGAAGGATTTCAAAAACGTCTTTAAAACGATAAAAAGTTGAATGTTTAAGCGAAGATAACTTTATAAGTGGTGAATGTAATACTTCAAACTGATTTTGAGATACTTTTAAGCTGTAACAAGAACGATTATGCCTGTTGAGGTTTACGGTTAGCATACGATACTTACGGATTAAGGAACAGTTTAGCTACTTTAATAAGAACGCTTTTATTACAGACTTGATAACAACAGCTGGCACACCACACTTTAGCGTTCACACAGGAAGAAGACAAAGTGTAGAAGAAACTTAATATTCAAGTAGGACAAATTAAAACGGTAAAATTCAGTGCATATAAGAACGAAAGCATGACTAACGAGGATACGGAAAATTAGGTAAACGTTTTGCTAAACAACCAGAAAAGAGGAAGAAGCGTGAGAAAAACTGAATTAGGGAAAAAGCTTGCTGGTTACAGTTACTAATAAGATCATAACATTATTTCCAAAACTTAAGTAACCACATGATCACTTTAACATGGTACGTTACTTAATGTTCTCAACCATAAATAATAGTGATCCCATAGAATGCAACGAAAAGGTTTGTATCTATTGACATGGTACTTACTTGTATTCCTCGACTTTGTAAACTGGTTCCATGTCTAGCGTTTTGGATATCTCAAACTATCTTCGGACCTACTCAAATTGCTGTACCACCCACCTTACATATCAAGCTTTGTACTGTTTAGGCTTTGCTAAAAGATATTCTAACTAACACAACCGAATATGAAGATTTATTTTATCAATCAATTTGCTACTTATATTACTCATTCAATGTTGTTAAGATAGCATTGCTTATAATCAAATACTCGTACCTTAACAGTAACTTCATGTTTTTTCAGTTATGTTATGAAGACTAACTGACACATATGTGAAAACATTATAACGACGATAAGACAAAATGGTAAAACCGTAATTTTCTTAAAAAACGACCTCATTTCTTATTGGTTAGCTTATTTAAATTAAATTAAGCACATGAATAGTGTAGGATGAATGGATTTTATCACATATTATATAAAGCGACCAGTAGAAAAAACTTTGTATGGTTGTTTAAGATGGTAGTGGATAGTTGATTTTTACGAGAATGGAACAAAAATGATGCTGAGAAACATAACAAATGTTCATTCTATCCACGTTAACCAATCAATACTATGTTTGGTGACTCCCTAGACTATGGATGTTCTCAATATTACCACATTTCATTTCTATCAAATTCGATCATTTTACTTGTTAATATTGTTAAGTCTCTGACTCGGTAAGATGCAGGAATTCAGCGTTCCTACCCTTCCATCCATTGTGTTAACTATATCAATAGCTTGTTTGATAAGTCAACATAAGTCCACCAATCGATTGTGAAAATATCTACTTGAAGTTATCATTCGACAAGCGTTTGTGTAAACAATGGAAACGAAGCGGTTATTAAAGAAAATATGATGGGGAAGGGATGGTCAAATAGAGAGAACGACCTTCTAATCTTTTCGTGAAGTGCTATGGTGAATGGAATCAATGTAGTAAATGAGCAGCCGAAATACATTTCAGTAGTGCTCACAGTTAAAAAGACAGCGAAAAAGTAATTTCAATTAAAGGTGTTAAGTTCATAAAACGTCCAAATATTTTCATTTGGTTTGTGTATAACACTGAAGTAAACTCTGTTCCTGCTTAATCCCTAACCGTAACCAGGATCATGGGAACTTCCAAAAATTTATTTGTGTCCGAATAATGGTTTGAAAAAACGAATAATCTACATGCATATAAATTTACTCTCATAACGTCATTATTTTCCATGTACAGACAAGACTGCCTCTAGAAACTTTTTATACATTCACTGATTACGTAAAATCTCTTTACATTTTGTAATATTCTTTTTTTCCATTAACTATTCATTTTAAAAATGTACTTCCCAATTGGCTAACTAATGACTAAAACATGCCAAGGTTGTTTTAAGCTCGTCCGTCTTCTAAGCTTTTACAGAAATTCTAGTCTGCTTTGTATTTACATAAACATTTTTGGCGGGTAGAAAAGAGATATATTGACAGCAAGAACGGCACGTTTTGTTGATAACCAGTGAATCGCAGCAATCCTGGTGTGCAGCTAAAGAACTACATGTAATTCTTACATGCAAGACAGAGAACAATAACTGAAAACTGCGTTTCCGATTTAAGTTAATATTACGTATTTGTGACTGGAACGCTTCAAGACTGAAATGTAATCGAAAGTGTACATAGAAAATAAACGAACGAACAAAATATATTTCTTTTATGAGATTAATTATCAGTTTTTTCAACTTTCAAGTGTGCAATAGTCCAGTATTTTTGTATATTTCCAGTGAAAATTACACTATTATATGCAGAACGCATCCGGTAAATGAGTGGAATAATGGCCAAACATGCTGGATAGAATGTACATATGAAATTCCAAAAAAGGACGAATAGAGTCCGTGTTTCCCTCAATGATAGATACAAACCTAGCGATAATATAAATTAATTAACGAAGTAGGAGAGAGTATTTCAACTGTTTTACGTAAAAGGATACACTATATACGGGAGGGTGATCATTTACGAGAGAACATTATGTTGCCTCGCAGACAAAAGGCATTTTATCACACAAAAGATTAGTATATATGGTTGACTAACCGAATAATAGGTCGATACATGGAATATATAACTTTCTAGATTTAAATGGGTTGGCCCCGTCAAAGTGAGAATTGAAAGTGTAAACCCAAAAGAAAAAATAAGTTTGTGGTATCAAAGTTGACAGTGGTTTATTTATTTTGTACATACAATTCTCTTGGGTATGTATCATTTAGTTATAATTAAAGTAGAGATTAGCATAAATGCATGTTAGTCCACGTTGTCATAACACAGTAAAATGAAATGAGATTTACTAGATGAATGACAAAAGAGTCAAAATAATGTACTGGTATCAACAATACTGAAAATGACTAAACATTGAGAATGATGCATCAGAAAGCCAGAATGGAGAATTGCACACAAATGAATATTGCAACTCAATATTTAAGAAAAGATAAAGAGTGAATGTAACTAAGTCACCAGACATGTAAATCACTGGTTAGTTTTAATATGATATAGAAGATTTGCAATTTAGATGGACAAGCCAAATGATTTTATTACAGAGCTTTCATTTTCATCCATCTTCAGAGCCTAATTGACGTGGAAAAAAGTTTCGCAATCAATATTATATCAGCTAGCTATGATGATTTTCTTTGTAATTGAATGTTTTGTGCAGATTATGTTATCTTTATTTGTTACTTGGTTCAGGTGGATTAAATTTGCTGATTGGGCTCTTCTGTATGAGTTCATGGATTGGGTCAATGTCAATATACCTGGTGGTTAGTGACTGATTTGAATGATAAGCCGATTTCCGGCATTCTAACAGAACTTGCTATCCGAAATTTCGACGTATCTTCAATCGGATTCATGTTCACGGTTGACTACATGCATGGATATGAGACAGTGCATTGTGTCACTTCATTGCTGACATATGTTCAGGCATGCATAAATAAAGGATATGTCCAATGTGCTAAATGTAGTATTCCTCGCAATTGGTTTAATTTATTTTGCAGATAATTTTGAATTCGCTTTCTTTCCCTGTTCTGTAATTCGGAATACATAGAATGGAACCAATTTAATGTGTCGACTTATAAGCGACGATGCCTATAGAAAAGTATTTCAGAATCTATGTCATAGTTTAGGAAATCTGTCTCTCTTGGTCTCCAGTGTTGGTACTTTGACAGTATATTTATTCGATAGACACCATTTAATGAAATTTTAGAGTACCTACGCAAACGGAAGACGGATAGAAAATAGTTTTTACATGTTTCCGTGTAGCAAACGTGTAGCAGCGGGTTTCAACTCTTCTAAAGTGAATGTAAGCTCAGCAATTAATCCATCTAACCCAAATAACACAACGCAAACAATTTTTCAAAGGAAAATACATTGAAAATAAACGAGAACGTATGGGCTTATTATTACTAAAACAAAAAACCTTAGAAAATTATCCCAGTGCTGTATAAACAAGATAAATGATTGAATAATAAAAATGAATATGTTATTTTAAACCAATAAATCGATGAATCATCTTAAAATGAAAAAAACACAGCTAAAACACAAAATAAAATGTACAAATCAATCAATATGCAAAACCAGTAAGAATTATATTTTGAGAGTTGTGATACAATTGTATATTTAGACAATGACTGCAAACATTAAACTTTCTGTAACTACGCTATGTTTAACAAGAGTAACGTATGTGTTATTGAGTGAAGGATTTATACATTATCGTTGTTTATACTTAACGGCTGAGAAAATTAACACTAGGGTTCAAGGCCGTCCCAATGACTAATGAGTGAATGAAGCTTATGTATGAAATGTCACGTACTAGCCACTCACAGCTCAAAAAAGATTCAATCAATCTGCAAATACGTGGAAATATTAATAGTTAAGACACCTGATTAAAACATACGTATAACATAATTAAAGAGAATCACTCAGCTTCCCATAGGTAAAAACACAGCAAATACGGCTCACAAGTCGTGTGTCCACTCTTAACAGAAGTTGATGCTGACATTTTGTTAGAAAAGTCGAAATATGCATCGCGACTAAACTCAAATAACGCAAAATAAACAAAGTCAAGTACACGAATTTGTATTTATATTTAGAAAATATCCTATTTTGATTTTAATACAAACACATTACATCACTGCTGAACAACACGAATTCTAATATTAAAATAGTAAACACTAAAATCTGATCAAATAAAATAGATGTAGATTTTTTAGAAAATGCGAAGTGTTATACAATTTCTCCTTTTGCGACCCAGCTATTCCTATCCCCCAGTAATCTTGGACACCAGTACTCTAACAATGCAGCAATGGTCTACCGGTCAAAGAACTTCACTTTTGATTAGCACTTTTCAGTGTAGAACCTGACACTATTAAGTTGTGTCCAGTACATGAATAGGTTATTAGCTTTCCTTACATAATTTAAATCAATTAATTAAGTAGAGTACACACAGATAAACATTTCATAAAATTACATGATCGAGATAAATTACCATAAACCTTACCCAGTTTGTATGAACAAATGCTTTCTAAATGCATTGAACAATTAGACATCTGTATTAAATTACCATCATAAATTGACATAGAGAAACAATAGAAATATGATTCATCATTGTCCTTATTCAGTGAAATTGCTTTACTATCCTTATGTTGAAAAAGCCCAGAAAAATCTATTAAATTAGTTCCAGTTGTTTGTAAAGAATTATCTTCGGATATTAGAAGACTCTAAGGAAGAGAAAAAATGTAACACAACAATACAAAAAGAGATCGAAATGATTTTGGATTTGTGAATATTACGGATTAATGGTTAAGTCAATGGTTGTTATAAATTATCATGTATATATACTACTTACCGAACCTCGTGTATAGTTCATTTTTAAACCAACCCAAATACTTCTACTAGTAGGGCTAATAGTTCTAGATAGAAGACGCATAAACGCCGCTTCAACTGGACTTTGTGGAGTTGCTATAACTGGACAAAAGATGGTACCCAATGATTGTGGATTTGTCAAACAATTCACATTAGTAGCGTGTGTCGACAACAAACAATGGCCACTTATTTCATCATGGAAGTCAACAATACTACGTTGTGAATCTCGTGGGGCAATCACAGAATAACAAGTATTATTAAACATATAAAAATCAGATAAACAATCACCATGTTTCAACATTCCCAAAAGTTGCGTCATGTTAGATTTATCCGATGTTCTAGCTACATATATGTAGATGAAGAAAGCGAAAGAAAGAATAACAAATATATACACATGGTTGCACAAATGAATATAGACATAAATCGTCAAAAAAAACACAACGGAAAAAAGTCACAACAAGATACCTAAAACGAAAAAGGGATTCAGATGTAAGTCGAATAGAATAGCGCAAAACATTTTCATTCATATATTGTGTGTTAATCTACATGAATTAAAAAAAGATGTAACGTTTCACATGAAATTAACTAGGGAATAACTACTTCTAATTTATATTAAAAACAAAAATAATATTTAGAGTATAGTGTTGCGTGAATTAATATTGAATAAAGGTAAAGATTACATAACTACAATACGATGAATTGAAAGTTACTGAGGAGGAGTAAGGATCAAATTGAGATGTATTGGTGATCGATAAACAAAATAGAGTGGGGGAGAAAGGAGGCAATGACAAAAAAATCTGATTTATTGAACGCTTGTGACACTGACTTCCTAATTAACACTTTTAGACTTGAAAGATCTTTATTCATTTATTTATTTGAACACATAAATATTGGTATAAAAGGGCACCAGATATATATGCACCGCACAAATCTCATTTGCTTTCTGTCAGGGCTGTGATACTGCTCAGGTGTCCAAACTGAAGCAGGTGGTTTTCTTAGAAGGCCACACCCCAAGCCTTTGACCTAAAGGTCTGATCCACAAAGCAGTGGAACATCGTAAGGAGATGCTGTCCCATGGTAGCCGGTGACCAACGATCGAAACATATGCCACTTGATCCCTCAGGATCCTAGAGCCCATGTGCACCATTGGTTGGGGATCAGAGATTTCCAACTCCCCTAGGTCAACTTTCCGTGTCCATCAACCCGGGTAAAGCGCCGGACATTCTCTTTTCGTCCTCTCACTTTCGTGAACAACACCCCCGCCACGAGAAGGCAGTGAGTAGGACTTCCCTGACAGAGGCTATATATGCGTGACCATATGAGAGTATTTAGAGAGGGAGGGCGGACTCTCCCACTCTCGGCAGTACCAGGGCCAACGTAAAGCCGAATGAAAATACAAAACAAGAGTTTGACTTATGAAGTTTATTAAAGACCTGTTCACATTGTCATGGAACTGGCCTTGGAGTTTTATAGACAAAAATGCTGAAATTATTAATAATTTGAGTACCTAACTAATCAGCATGGAAAAACAAATACAGTGGCTTCGATATTTTACTGGGAAATGATAACAGCGACTAAGTTGCAATATTTAGTTTTACTTAATGCAGATTTGATCACACACTACAAACATCTACTTTTTATAATTCAGAAGACAAGAAATTTAAATAATTTTGACTTCAATAGTATTTGACACAGATCAATGTATAGCTCAAAAAATTACGTGTGAATATATTTGATGTTGAGTTACATTTTCTAAGTATGACAGTTAGTGATACTAGTGTATTTAACGAGAACTCAAATGGTTGTCACCATTTGAATACAAAATTACAGAGTACTTTGATAAAATGTGAAAACCATACATTCAATACTTCGTTTGCAAATCCTCCATCAACTGTCTCGAACTTCATTGCTAAAACAATTACTCTCTGTATGTGTTCTCTTCGATTCAATCTTTTCAACCTTCTGTTGTCAGGCATTCCACTTCTGATTGGCGTTATATACTACTTATGACAGCATAAGAAGCATACACCATACTACTACTCAGTTACATAAACCGAAGAAAATGTAGCAGAACTCTTTTCCAGTAAACGTGTCAACTAATTGATTGAAGGTCGACTTCTAAAATTATCAGGTCACTACGAAACACTACACAGATAAAAATTGAAAACTATGAACGGGTAATAACTATGATCATCATTAGTCGCATGACTGAACATCCGTTATGTTTTGAGTTGCTTGGTTGCATAATCAGTGTTAAATTAACAACAAAATATAACTACATATGATGGTAGGATAATCACATCCATAGCAAGAAAGCATGAATTAGAATGGATAAGTGGATCTCACGTCAAAGGACATACACAATATACTTTAGTGCTTATCGATAAGAACGCCTAATTTATTATGAACGTACAAATTACACAGGTAATATAATTTTCAAGAGTGGGTAAAAAAGCGGATTAATCAAACCGGGGAATTTTCAATGTACCCTCATTCGAGATCATCATATTTGTTTATTTCTACCTGTTAATAGGATCAACCGGGAAATATGTTTTTTTTAAATTGAAGAGAATAAAAAGTTATCTTTAAATTATCCAGCAGCACGACAAAATGCTAGATAAAAGTTCGAATAGTATGTGTCGTAAAATAATTTGTATTCACTGACAGATATGGGTCAACTGCTGGAAATAATATGAGAACATCATATCAAAACGGTATTCAAACGAGAGAAGACATATCGTCTTAACTTTATTACTGTAAAATCTTATATTAATTATGAAGTGTGTCAACCAGATTCTCAGCTTCACTGCTCAAAATAACATGGCTGGGAAAATGAGAAAAAAATTAATTATTTCGAATAATTACAATACTTTTTGAAAATAGACTCTTCATTGGATATTTAAAGAACTGTGTTTTAGATAAGTTGTGAAAATAAAGAGGCAAACAAAAAAGGACAGAATTTCAAAGCTCTAAAATTTATATCCCATCCTCTGTTCGATGTTTGCCAGCATTAATAAGTGTCACGGCGATGGTTCTCCTTTGAGTGGTTGCCCTTATTGATGTGTGCCTTTATCACTCGCCTTTTCGCTCGCGATCTTGGATCTACAGACCTTGAAAATCAATCAAATCCACCAGTGTACTTGGCATAATTGGAGTTTCAACATTAATCATCACTACAGGGAAGTGATTAGCAGTTATACTGTATAAAACATCCATTTAACGACTTGAGATTAAGACATTTTTTCACACTAGCAGGTATCTAGTATATTCATTAGTAAGGGATTGTGGAGAAGATTGGACTTTATTGACATCACAAAATTATTTAGCTAAACAACCATTAGAACCTGGAAGCACTGGATAACTGTTTTGCCCCAGTGTGGTACTCCTCGGCAATGAGCTTTTGCGACTCCGCAGACGGGGATCGAACCCAGGCCCTTCGGCATCTCTTGACGATTAGGTCGAGATTCAACGTAGTCTAACCCTGTGGAGAATGACGTAGTTACCCACTGAAGACGTTGGAAAATGGTCACACAATGTCGTGGATTGATTGAAGTTAGACAGTATCATTGTTGGATGCCAACTCAGTGGTTTGGAGGTTAAGTGTTCCCTCGTCACACCGAAGATCAAGGGTTCGACTCCTACATTCGGAGTAGTGAGTGAGCACAGTTGAGGAGTTTACATATATTAGGACGAAACGGCCGTCCATTGACTCCGGATTTTCAATGGTGGTCTAATATTGATAGGATGATAGGAGGCAATAAAGATAATGTACATTTCACAAATAAAAACTTACATGGTTTAACCTCACAAATATAACCGAATTTCTTGTTGCACAGTTCATTACTCCATGTACCAATTGAATCTAGTTCGTGATGCATTATAGCACAACTCTAAGTACATTATGAAGATGTATTTTAAAAACAAAAGAGTATGAGAAAGAAAGCGAAAATAATGAGAAATAATTAAATGAATCACTTCACAGCACTAACAAATAACTAAAATAACTCATAATGTCATTGAATAAGAAAAAGAGAATTCAGGGAAGAAAATTTTCTTTTCGACGAAATCATTCACTTAAGCTGTACATTCGTATATATAGTGATAACATAACTGCGTTTCAGTCAAAATTATACTGACTTTGTGTATCAGGACTAACAATCCTATCTAGATGGCGCCCACATCAATGTAGAGTATAAAAAGATTTAAATTCCAAACTCTAAATGAAAGTGCCGCATTTCGGCTAAGAATCTACGATTTCATGAATGGATACATATTTTCTACATATAATACATCAGTTGTCAGACTCCTGTTAATCATTATGCAATGAATTCACAGAATGAGTAGCCCGGAACGTTTCCATTAAAATTACTCAATTCATTCTTGACTTGAAAAGGTCTTGTGGAGATTGATTTGTCAGTCAGTAATACATAACGTAGAACTCAACAGATATATTCACCGGTGCACATTAGCAGAGCGATCTAGTTTTACTTGAAGATTGTTCTTAGATTGGTAAAAGCAACAACAGTATCACTAATTGTAGAAAAGACGAAGTATAGGAAAAGAAGAAAAAAGATATACATAGATTTGGGGATTAGGGTTTTAAAGGAAACCATCTAGGGCAGTGTTAACGATTCTGAGCGATGTCACCAAATTTCTACAATCATTGTTTACGATAATCACGCGAACTCTAACCCGGTAGTCTACACATATTAAGATAACCTAGTTCAATGGTGAATGCTGTCATGAAGTGGTGCCACTTCTTGGTTTTTCCGCTACTAGATTACTAGATGAACATTCTCATATTTGGACTAAATGGACGTCTAGTCCTCTCAGATTTTCAGTGGTACTTTAAGACCAGTTTGTGACTTAAATAAACCATAAAAATAAGATTCTACTCAATCAAAACTTTAACCAAACTCAAAATAAACAATTGCGAGTCTTACAGATCCATTAGCATTTGGTTCTGTGAGGCGCCAATTTGTATAGACAACATCATGTTGATTAATCCATGTATGAATATTTTGTTCAGAACGTAAACCGATCCATGCAGAAAATTGTTGATTATCCATAAGAACGGTTAAACCATCTTAAATAAAGCAAGACAATAAAACAGTGATGATAATAGGGTGTCAGTTGGTTTCTTTTTTATACAGAGTTAAGCAGTGGTAATGACAATCATTTTCAGGTCAATTCTAACACTGGCCAATCAACAGCGCAGTAGCAGTTGGTAAAAAGTAATGGCTGACGGTGTCAGTACGTAGCAATGCTTTGTGAAATTGAATTATGTCGAAAATTGAGTTTTACTAACATAGAGATTGTTTTTACATCAAGTAATTTAGCTGTCATCAAATAAATCTCGACTACTACTACTACTACTACTACTACTACTACTGATCCACTGTGACAACATGGATTGATGCATTTTTTGGGCTAGGACCAACGTTGTTTATGATGAAATAAACATCGTGGAGGAAATGAATTTACGAATGATAAAAGACCCCACTGGTTTATACTGCGGATGGTAAGAGTAGTTTAAGTTTAGTAAGGGTAACAATATCAAGTAGAAAAAGTTATACCTGTTCAACTTAAAAGATTAAGTAAATGTACAAGACAGTTACCTCAGTCATTGAAGAAGGAATACAATGAGAATTTATAAAGCATAAAATGATGCTGAAACCGAGTGTGAAGAACGAATGCATCTAAGTCAGGACAACCAATTGAGTCATCTCATCTAAGATCGCAAATCACTGGTCAGAATTATCTCACAGATCACAACCAAATAGTTTATACACACATTACAGCACGGTGCAAGATAACAATCAATAACTTCATAAGAAGCTGAAGTTATTCGGTTGAAAATGACCATTTTTCTTCCTGTAAACGCAGCTTACTATTTGATAGGAAAATGGCTACGAACTGTCATCATTAAGTTACTTTCACTACGGTGACGAATAAAAATGGCGTTAAGTGAGGTTTGATGGGTAAACGAATTTGCTTGCCAAAAGCACAATTGAAAAGTATCCACTATGAGTAATACAGTTTCAATTTAAACAGCAACTTCAGATAATCTGAATTAGCAAGAAAATACTTTCAATACATAGTGTATATCATAAACACATACATTCGAAATTCAATCAAATTTCATATGAATTAAAGGTTCTCAAGTAATATATGCATACACGTTGTGACTTTATTTACAATCATATATAAGAGTAGCGAATGAAATACAGTAAATGTATGTGAACATTAGCTTACCTTGCTGTTCATTTGATGATATAGTGGCCAGATGAGCGTCAGCATCCAAACTTCGACATAAGTTAGAAGCAGCTGACCAGTCCACTGTATCATTTTTATTCGCTTTTACCTATTAAAAGTCAGTAACTTTAGTTTAAACATCACAATTAACAAACAATAATTACTAAGAAGCTTAAGATTACCACCATTAAAACAATGTTTAGTGATAAAAACACTATGACAAAAAGAACGTGTTTACAAATTCAAACAGCAATTAAACAAGCCAAAAGACAAAAATGAGTGATTTAATGCACAGAAATGAAAACATGAAATAGATCATTGGTCGAGTTTCGACCACTAAGTCCCAGGTTTAGCTCTCGCTTCATTTACTTTGGTTCAGACAGATGAATATCATTGGCCCTTACACTTAGAGTATAGCTCATAACCAAGTACCTACCTGGCGAATGAGTTAACTATTATAAGACATGAAGACGATAACTTTGTGACTGACAAATGTTGGCAGCAAGAAAACCTTTTGATTGAGATCCCTACAAAATAATCTCCAGACGTCGGCCACAGTGACATAGATTTATTCAGTGTTTTATCATCTTACCCAATATCTTCTCAGTTCACTTTCTAATTTTCCTATATGTTTTGCTGATGTCTTGAGGTAAGTGTGAATTTCAACCGTGCACATTGTTACAAATCCCTATGTTGTTTATGATCGACTAAATGGATGAGTTGTGGCTAGCAAAAATATCAAAACAAAACCAACCGTAGTTCCAGTTATTAAGATGATTAAACATTCGACTTCATAGTAAATATAATTTGAAATGTTACACAAATTTAAAAACAACACTAAGTTGAAAAACACCCGTAGTCAATCGTGATGAAAAGAACTAGTAAAAATAGACAGAGAAAATTTAAAGTAAATGTGAAAAGTATTTATATGACGAAAACATAAACAGCACTACCTAGATGTAAATTATTACAGGCTGTGAGTTATTAAGACGTGTACTTAGCTCTTGACAGGAAGCAGGTTGCGCAATTTGATGAGAATCATACGAGCTTTTTCTTCTGTGCAGAGATTTCTTCACTCAACGATCCACAAAGACTAATGAGACTTCCAATATAAGTTGGCTTATTCTGTAACAAAAAAGTATCCAAGCCTTTGTTGTTGTTTGATATTCAGATAAACTGTAGTACTTCAGATGTCTTTATTCTGTACAATAATCAGAAAGTTATAAGGTAAGCAAAATGCGAAATAACAAATGAGATCACTTTAATACAGGTATGTTATGCATAAGAAACATAAACCTACCATGAAGCAGCTTCCAGATACCAACATAAAACCTTCAGGACATTTAAAAAACAGCATATTGTCATAGGCTTTCTGGATAGATGATAATTTAACTCTAGTTGATATCTCAGTTGAACATATATACGGTAATGGTTCAGTGCATGAAATAGTCCCCCATGTATGTAAACCATCAATTTCTGTACAAAAAAATAAAGAGGTTAATAATGATAAAGACAGAAAATCATTTGAAAGTTTTAAATAAAAACAGAACATCGATTAAATTACACGACATTACTAGATGAGTATTTAAAGCAATTATATTATATTATATTATATTATATTAGACTTAAAGATTTGTTTACGCTATAGACTTACTCTGGAAAGAAAAAAAATTAACTACATTTTATGAATTGGGTTGGAAATTGTTTCTAAGGTGTTTTGATGGAACTTTTTAATTGGACACGCACATACGCACTAAGGTTTAGGTCGATTGTTTCTTACCTCCATGAGAGGTTTGTGAAGATTGTTAAATTTTCGGACTCCATCAAGTATTGATATTAGTTAAAAAACTATTGCGACCATAGAGGAACTGAACACTTGTTTCATCCTATAATGAGGCACCTCAACAGTCTGCACTCACGCCTCCGTCAGAAAATAGAATCCAACACCTTACATCTCGCGCACGATTGATCAAACTCTGGATCACTGAATCAGCATTCAATAATGTGCATGCTTAGCTTCAATCCATTCACGATATTGTGCGCAATCTTCTATTGCTTGGAGTGTATATATAATTGTCTCACATTCGAAATGGTTGGACTCTACTAGTCACAACCTGTATCGGAGTTAGTGATTTTAGAAAGAGCTTTCAAAACACCAGAATTAGGCAAATATGAATCTCCAAGCAAAATGGTTAAAAGAGGAATAGTTCAACAACTAACTAAGCTTAGAAGATCCAATAATTTTAATGAACTAGAGTGCTTTTATTCACATTTCTGTGAAACAGGAGGAAGACTGGGAATGTACAGATTTTTAGCGTATTGATCAGATCTACAATAAGTTTTGCTAAGTATGAACGTTCAAGTTAACAAGTTTTTGTAACTTAATAAGCAATGCAAATCAAAGTAGCCATCGAATGAAAATCCAAACATTATCATTTCTTCCTCTTAGTAATTTATCTGAAACACACATAAATACATATTCGGGTTATAATCACTACAATTGCAAATAACCAGAAACATACATCAAGATAACATTATTTAGTCCAGAAAATATGTGTACGTGAGCGATATTACCCGAAGTAGGTAAGCCAGCACATCAACCTGTATTTTAATGTGGAGTAGATAGTAAAAACGTTTTCAAGCCAACAATTCACTAGCCAATGGTTTCTTATTTTCAAAGAAAGAAAACATATTCCAAACCGAAACAGAAATAAAATAGAAAACAAACACTTACTAGTATCGATATAAACACATTCCTTTTTAGTATATTGAAATTTCAATTGCCAAAACGTCGATGGTACTGCACCATAAGAAGATATCCACAATAAATGGTCATGTGAATTGAAAAGTCCAATGTAAGCATGAGATAAATTACTATGACTAGTTTCCTATATTTATTTACATAATTAGTAAAATAAATGACTTTTTTTTAAATAGAAAAAAAATATTGTTCAAAGATAGTATTGAATTTTTAAGTCATAAAGCATAATAAAAAAAGTGTTTTCGGTTTAAAATCCCATGCCAATATGTAAAATCCGAATTATCTAAACACCATTTATGGAAATAGGCTTCAGCTGAGATAGTGATTTAGGTTCCAACCTGGGACTTAGTAGCTTAAATTTAAACGCTTTAAGACATCGCTCCATTTACAGGGCGGCTCATGACTAGGTACAAAAAAGAATCTCCAGTAGCAAATAGACTGAAGTTAGTTAATCTGTCAATTCTTTATGAAACCTCTTAGGATAGACATCAACTATATATAGCATGGACTTGTTTATCAGTTTTTGATACGTGGAATAACATGGTAAAGACGTTTTTCAAAATTAATTCTTATCGATGAATAATAATGGATATCGAAACATTGAGAACCTGAGTGTCGAAAATGCTAAAAATCTGTATTCAGAATCAATGACCAAACGATGTCAAATGATCAGACAATTCGATTCAACATTCGACCCGGCATGTTTGCTTTTGAGTTCTGTAAAATGTGACGAAACAGCCATGATGCTCTACCTGAAACCTGGTGCTCGTGATGAGGACTACCTGTCATAGAATCAATCTTCAAGAATCACAATGAACACTTCCCTTCAACTCACTGGTGTGTATTAAAAGAAGCAAACTTGATAGACTTTCGTCAACATTAAGAACTAGAGAAATTTTATATTTGGAATCATGAGTCAATTGAAACTAAATCACCATGGAAAACCTGGAAGCAATGAACGGCCGTTTCGTCCTATTGTGAGATTCCTCGGCGGTGCGCATCCGCGATCCCGCCTCGTGAGATTTCCGCCCAGGACCTATCAGTCTCACGCACGAGCGCTTAACCACTAGACCGCTGAGCCGGCATCGAACGGTGTTGATGTCTAACTTCAACCAATCCATGAAGTTGAGCAACCGTTCACCGCGCTCGCGCGCGAGACTGGTAGGTCCTGCGTTCGAATCTCGCGAGGCGGGATCGTGAATGCACACTGTTGAGGAGTGCCACAATAGGACGAAACGGTCGTCCAGTGCTCCTAGTTTTTCCATGGTGGTCTAGTTTCAATTGACTCAAGATTTCGACTATAAAATTAATGAAATCTCCACGAAACCCGTTCTAATAACTAGAGAAATATGATATTGGACACCATTCAGTGCAAATATCTCAGTACCAAAGGTAGTCGCCATCTGAATAGCTCAAAGGCAGCATCGCACACTGTAAAACTGGATAATGTGTGTGGTTAGGAACCCACAGAAAGTATCCACTCCCCCATGACTGAAGGTACACTTCGCCGATGAGTGTTAAGTAAAACGATACCTAGTTTCCCGATCTCCTACTGACTACTTAAAATTTTTATAAAAAAACAGAAAATAAAGAAAAGTAACCAGAATACACATACATGTTTCAGAGTATTCATAATAAACATTTGATGCTCTTCACTCGGTACAGTGGCCAGTGTCATGTTATAATTACGACATACATAATCAGCTTCGTAAAAAGTAGCCAATTGTGAAATATAACGTATACAATAAGGTTTACTTGATATGTTTGTGCATATTTCGTTATTAACGACTTCTAAACAATAATAAAAGATGATAAACGATGGCAATAACGAAAATAATTACGAGCGCATTGGCATTTGATTTACAAAAATCTAAATAACTTCTAATTTATTTTGAGACGAACAGCATTTGACTAGCATACGTCTTCGATTGTTATTATTGTGTAGAGAGTTGTGGAGAATGTTGAATATCATAGTTTATATGATTGTAGTTAGACAACATTTAGAAACTAGGAAGCAGTGAAGAGCTATCTCGTTCCGGTAGGAGAATCCTTAACAGTTGAAATCTACGATCCCGCCACAGAGGATCGAACTTGAGATCTGCAGAGTTTGTAGAGATTGCTTAATATTTAGACTACTAATTTGGTGTTCAGTGGGTTATATTTCTAGTTTCAATAAGTTCGTGACAATGTTCAACCACTTTTCGATGTAATTGGTGGTGGCGTACCAAACCCCACATGGTTGAACTTCAGTTGTCAATGCTTCACAATAGAACATCAAGAACGAATTCCCTCGATCGATATTAATTTATGGTAGTGAAAACTTTAAAATATATTTAAAAATTTCCAATATATCATACGTATACGGCGCAAAACGTTTGTATGTATTATTCTACACGGCTTCAATAAGAAAAAACTGTAATAATTCGATTACGTCTGTTATACAACAACGCCCGACTATGATCAGACTATAATACGAATGTAATATTGAGGTTAAAGACAATTATATGCAAACAGGATTTGTTAATTATGAACCATGTTCAACCAGAGTAAGAAATTACGTCAAATCACTGCAGGAATCTTTAAGCAATTACTACTTCATATTCTTTTCCCCTTTCAAGATGCATATTTCTTCTAGATTATTATGTGATTGTACTCAGCTGTTTATTTTCGATGGAACATTCACGCATTCTAACGAAGCCTAATAATTAAAGTCTATGAACGTTTGCTACAGATTTTACGTTGATATCCATTTATCTCTGGATATGAAACGTATGTAAGTGAAATATCAAGTACATATATTCATATATTTCTTTTGAATGTGACTGTTATCTTTATCACAGGATGATTTTGGTTGTTTTTATGTGTTGAGATAATCAGTGATCGCGATTAGTCAGTCGATGAGACTGAAACCAAGTCCCAGATTTTAGCTAAAATATTAGTCAACCTAATCGCTAAAACTGGACCACCATCCTTAAATACCTCTGAAGCCAATCGATCAGGACCAGATGCTCTTCCCTGTTTCAGCTAGGCTATAGCTTTCTGAACTTCAATTAGAATAGGGGAGCCTACTTCAGTGTCCCATTCAGGTTGTTTGGATATCGTGAGTAGCTGTAGATGCTCCTTAAAGTGTTCCATCGATTGAGTTTGTTCGTATGTAATTTAGTTAAGCCCTTTTATCAACTTATTTAACGGACAGAGACATTAGTACAATAACAATCTATCTGTACTATTGTACCTTTATTATTGTTGCACTTGTATGAATATGTATGCTTGAGTATTGCTTACTGCCTACGCATATGTTCATTCTGCTAGCCTTACTACTATTAGTCGCATAATTGAATTCGATGATTCATTCATTGCCATATGTATATATATGTACATTTTAATCCTCTTCACTGACTTGATCACTCGCTCTCTATTCAACTCGCACGCTCACTCGCTTGCTCTGGAGTATTAGATAATGCACATGGGCAATTCACACAATAAACAGGCTAACAATTAATGCTTGTGAACAGATAACGTTGAGAGAGTCTTCTTTTTAGAAATTTAAAGCAATTAGTTCATTTTCTACAGTGTAGTAACACGAAGATTATCAGAACTATGCGATATACTAGTGTAATACTTTCGATTGATTTTAACTCGAATTTTGTGGTGTTATACTAGAGTCGAAAGACCAAGGACTAAGGTTTATTGAAGTCTTAATCATACGAATATTCGAAACCTCTTTATGCATTCACAAAAGTTTGTTTTCACCCTGATAATATCAGTTCATTAACCAGCGTATTAAGTTTCAGATTGTTATTAAAATTATTATCTGTTTCCGCCTACCGTCCAGTTGTCCAGTTGACTTTTTAAATTTTTATATAATAATTTTCCTAACATCTATATGTGTGGTCAGAATGTTCGAAATGCATTGTGCTAAAACATCAAATAGTTCTGATAATCTTTAACTTCTTATTACACCATCCAAACATAACGTTGATAAAAGGGAAACTTACGTTCAGCTGCGACTTGACAGATATAATTTAAAGAAGAAGAGCAATCAACTTCTTCCCATTGTCCAAGATGCAATGGACGCTGATGCATCATTGTGCATAAACGCTTAGTTAATAAAGAAGAAATATAAAGAATGTTTTAACTTTAGTATTAAAAGGCAAATTTTATATACGAGCATACTTAAGATAAACTTTATCCCATTACAAAATACATTCAGTCGGTGACGACTTATTTGGTTTATAAGATTGAATTCAGATAAGTGTGCTAATCAAACACGACTAGTTATCATTTCGAGGCACTGTACTACCAACTAATCACCTCTTATTCCTTCATTAACGCACAAACCATTGCAAATAGTTCTGAAGATGAAAGGCAGTGTTCCGAGAGTACATAGAGCTTGAATTATTACCACCATCTCCGAACACATATTGCCAGAGCTCAGTGTGTTGACATCGATAGCCTTCGGAAAAAACGACAATAAAGCACGCTCTCAGGTCACTAAGACCAACTCTAACCCAGTTTCTTTTTCAAGTACATCTACAAGAATCCTTCCACAATAAGGGACACCGGGAAGTCATCACCACCCTCATACTTCTAACAGCACTTAAGATTGACTGACATTCGTTGATATATGACTATTGTAATCGAAATGAAATATAATTTATATATTCAATTTACCAAGAAACGTTTGTAATAGATGATTCATGAATAAATAATTTACTTATTTAAATTAGCTATTAGCCTGGTGTTCTTTCTACAGTAATCAAGTGGAATTACGTCTACTATACACACGATGTTGTCTTTGAATAACAAAAGACTTCAACAAACAAATTTATCCTGAACAATTCTAATTATCATACAATAATCAATTTGTTCACGTTCGGTAAGAGAATAACCGTTCAAGAATAATGACAAAAGCACTAAATCACCAACATCAAATCTTATAAAATTTAAAAAACAATAATCATGTGGTCATTGACAAGACGTATCGTTCCAAGTTGCCACAGTTCATATATCAGGATACCAAGAAAAAGCAAGCTGACAAAACTATAAGCTAAGGATGATGAAAATAAATGAACGAGGTCGAAGCACTAAATAAATGAAAAATTATTATATCCAGGACTTAGAGGAAGAAAAAGGACGCATGTTTGTGCCGCATGATTTCGAGTCATATCACAACTGTTCCAACCATGGATCGTGATGGTCACACACATGATCTAGTAAATTTTTTCTTGTTGACCCGTTCGTTAGGCACAAATTCACGTAACCGGCTTTAAGTCACGCCCCAACTGTGTGTGAGAGCTAGTAATACTGTGTGGTTGGTTATTCAAACCGAAGTAGATGGAATGGGGTTCGAACCTGCGATCTAGCGATTGAAAATCGAATGTCCCAACCATTTTACTCCAGCTACATCAGGAAATGCGCAATTAATGGATTATAACCCACAGGTCATATATTGACTAATTAACACAACACACAATAGTTTACCTTTTCAGTATCAAGTATTTGCTTTGGATACCAATTTGTATAGTTGATAGCATCACCACGGATCCATTTACGTTCACTTTGATCAAGATACATACCGATCCATACCGGATGAGAAGAACGGGCAATTAATACAGAGAGAGCGTCTGTTTTTGTCGTGAAGGACAAAATAAGAGCAATGCACTGAATTATGAAATACGTGAATGTTTTTATATAACAAAATAAGGAGTCTTATTAATTGACAGATGAGGTGTTAGTGAATTTGAAACGCGGTTTTTATTACAGAATGAATTTCCTTGAAACATGATTAAGAATTCAATAATGATTCCTAAAATCTAACCACAAACACAGTTTATTATACCATTTTTATTCGTTAAAAGCTAAACATATAGCCTGCTGTAACTAAATTAACGAAAACTGATATGTAAATAACTGAAGAAAATTTTAGGAACAAACCTACCTTGTTCCATAGGTGATGTAATAGTAGCGAGAGATGCTAAAGTATTTGAGGCTTTACACCGTTCATCCGCTTTGTCCCACGCTAATCTGCCGGATGGATCTTCTCTTAGCTATAAGTCAATATAAAACGAGGGATCATTGATTTAAGATTTTTCTGATAATTTCGTTAGTTGAATGCTTATAACTAGTGATTTGCAAATTACGATGTGTAATTCATGAAAAATTCGAAACAAGTTTTTTGGTTACGACACTCAACTTCTAGCCATTAAGGGTTGTCGTCTCACACGTTACTTTACCTACACTGGTTTGAGAAGTGTCATATACATTGCGTAGATAGAAGTCTGTTACTCACATCTGCAGTTTCTAAGTGGATTGCAGGAAAGCACCAATTTAGTTCACTCAACCAAGTTCAAATCAAATACTTAGAATCCAACTTCACTACTTAAAAAGACGGAGAAAAAAATAAAGATAACAGAAATACTACAGAACGTGCAATCCGATTATTAGTGTATCCACGGGTGTTGTAATCACATAATATCCGCATCCAGAAACGCTTGAACACTGGCACGCAAAAAATACAGCAATAAATCGTATGAAGGTGCTAGCACGAAGTTATGTATTCTGGTCGCATTCAGACACACAACTAAAGTAGCTATTCCGCTAGTGTATTGAATATGCATTAGCAAGAAAAGCAACACGAAAAGCAAAGCTTTAATCAAAGCCATTACCACAGTCCCCGTGGCAGAGTACATACATAGACCTCACTGGTAAACTTCATGGACAAACTTTCCTTTCAGTAGTTGATGCATACAGCAAGTGGCAAGAAATCTTTCTCGTGGAACATCCAATTGCAATCTGCACAGTC